AAATGGCAAATGGGGTAGATGGACAGGAACAGGCGAGACCGAAATGGGACCGAGAAAATTTTGGATCTATGTTCGAGGAGCCCCATAGAGGTCATGGGATGAATATGGTCGTGATTAAAATGAGTTAGGCACATTTTAACATCATTCAGATATCCAATAAATCATATTTTACCCTCTTTTTTAAACCTTTCACTCTTTACTTGTGAAAAAGTCTATACTTCTCTTTATTCCTCATGCAACCATTTCTCAAAATAAATATTTTTTGTCGAATTTCGTTTTAGTCTTTACCTTGAATTATTGGACTCAAAAAATTAATAAATATATTAATTTGATAGGCCAATATAAGTTACTAAATAAGGTGCTTCTAATCACCAATTCAAAATTTTTTTTACCGTTATTATATATTTTTTGTGTTATACCAACTAGCTAGACTTATTTCTTTTTTTTTTATTTTATTTTAGTCTCAATGTATTCTACTTATAGTATTAAGGGAAAACAATAGGGACAAACTAATATCTTCAAATAATTTACCCACATTAGCAACAATTAAAAGGGACAAAAAATTCATCACATTAAAAACTTGAGCGTCAAAGAGAGACAACTCATGATATTCACGTATATGATGAAAAGCAGCTGAGAACATAATAGGTTATAGCATCTGTAAGCAACGGAAACGGGAAAGCCTGTTGTTACAACATAGAATGAGAGAAAACAGAGCCAAGGTTAAGACAATGGAAGATGATGGTGATGGCTGATCAAAAAAAAAAAAGAGAATTTTCTCATAAGGAAAAAATATAGATTAAAGATATTAAAAGTAGGGGAAAAAAACCAATGAGGTAAAGGAATTGATGTGATGTACCCTGAAACTTTACTTGCATTAAATACATAATTTGAAATTGTGTTTATTTAGAAAAAATTTGTTTAGAAATAAAATTATTCGTTACAAAAATTCAATAGATTGGGTCTCACGGGACTCCCAAGTAATAACCAAGTATGCCCATTTTTTATTGAAAATTGTTGAGTTTAATTTCATTTAAGCCCGATTCCATATATCATAAAGTCCTGTTTGATAACCCAATTTAGCACTTAAATTTAATGGATTCAAATGTTAATATGCCCAGACGCGTTTGATAACAAAAAATTGAACATTTAAATTAATTAAGTGGCACTGAATCTCTTAGGCATAACTTGTTTCTAAAAATAAGTGATAAACTATTCACTTATCATTAAATGTGATATACGTTCAAATATATTTAATTTAATATTTAACAATTTAATAATTTAATGGATTCACATTTCAGATTTCAGATTTCAAATTCCAGTTTTCAAACTTCAGTTTTCAAACTTCAGTTTTACCAAACGCACCCTTAAACTCATAAGCACTAGCTAGCTACGTAGGAGTTCTCAGATAATGCATTGCACGGAAAAATTAATGAAGCACATTTGAACATTAATAGTAACAGGAATTAGGCAATTATGCAAAACTAGATACACAAAAGTACTTTGAGAAATCGAAAGCTAATTCTACTTTGATGTAATATTAGCCCGGAAGAAGTAAAAGTATATACTACTTCAGCATTTGTGATCAAACTAAATATAGCGATTGCAAACATATGCTAGAGATTGAAGAAAAGGAATGGATTGAATTTTGCTTGCATAAGTTACTGGCAGCAAGATTTCTTTTTTTGCCTTCTAGTAGTCCTTGGGTTTTGATTTCAGTAGTGGCAGAGCCAGAATATATGAAAGGAATGCAACTCGCAATATTGAATGTAAATATTGTGCAAGTCCTACGAAGAGCAGACATTAAATTTTTCTATAAGGCAAAAGTAAAGCAAGTGAAGTAATATATAGTAGTATTAGATCAAGATCTTAGAGGGAGCAAGAGAAGGACTTCAATGCAAAAGTGGTAAAATTCCATAAGAATTAAGAGGAGCTGTTAAGATTTTTTTTGAATCCTTTTTGTAAGGAACTGAAGTGAGCCTCTTGCTACATCTTTGGACTTGGATCAATCAAACTGTTTATCTAATGGCAAATGTAGATTGGGACTCACTCGACCAATTGTCACCTCCAGCATCACTCTTTTCTCCCTATCTCTAAAGCTGTAAGCAACTTTGTCTCTTACTCCATTCCGAGTTAGGCTCATAATTATAAATATTATTTTGGATAAAATGCAGAAAAATTTCCTGTAGTTTCGCGAAAAGACAATTGGCCATTTTATGATTTCGAAATGTCCACGTAAGTTCCTCGTGACGCAGAATTAGACTTGCAACCTGAACATTACCTACGAATTATGTATAATTTTTTTTCTTTCTAATATTCTTGTCTTTTTTTTTTTCATTTTATCTTCCTTTTCTTTTTTGTGTTGAAATTTCCATATGGCTTTCTCTTTCTTTTGTTTTCTTTTGATTTCACTTTGCCTAAACATCTTGGGTACTTCTAAAAATTTTAAATTTTTTAGAGTATTTTTAAAATTTTTAAAAATTATCCTCACCTTCCTACTCCTCCTTCCTCGCCATCATCCCCCTTCACCACCGTCATTGCCGCCGCACCTCCACTATCCTTGCCACCTGCCACCCTTTCCTCCTCTTCCCCCTTCTCTTCTCTTCCCCACCTCCTTTAGGAAACGCCTTCTCTTCTAGGAAACGCTACATTACTAATGAGTACTCTTTTTCTGGTCCCCTCAAGCCAATTCTTGTTTTCACGTCTGGGATGTGATTTACTTGATGTAGCAGTGCTTATGAGTGTTAAAAGAACTAAGAGGAATAAAGCAGAAATGCGCCAGAAGTGTGCAAAGGTGCCAGCAGCTTGACGGTCTTGTTAATTGACAATGAAATTAGACTACAATGGAACCACTGCTCACTGGATAGAAAGTCATATATGTGTCCAATTAGAAAGGCACACATCTCACACCTGATCTGCAAGTATTTAGACCGGTTGGTGGAAATCACTCTCCAATTCATCATGTGATCCGTAGGGGTGGGCACGGGTCGGTACCCGCCCCGAACGACAATTGGCTGACCCGACCCTAACATATCGGATCGCTATTTTTTTTATCCTAATCCGCTCCGATCATTCTCGGGTACCCGATCCTCGGATACCCGAAAAAATAGGGGCGGGTCATAGGGTACCCGCCCCTATTTAAAGAATGCAAATTCTTGTATATGAACCTGCCGTACGTGATTAATCCAGCCAAAACAAAGACAATAGCAGCATTCGTTTCAAACTAGACAAAGACAATAGCATATTCAATTCTCAATAGTTCAGACTTGTGTCAACAACTTGAATGTCAACAAATACAATAAAATTTCAAGAAAAATTACAATCCCTAAAATGTTTTATCAACCTCAACCTTCTACAACACATTAAGGAGCACAATCTTCAAGAATCATCAATCTTCAATATTAATAAGGGCAAATTATCCAATTGGCCCTTTAACTCTTTGTCTAGGTAAAATTAAGCCCCTCATCTATTTTTTGCTGACTTTAAGCCCTCGAACTTGTAAAATAGGAAATCCGTGGCCCTTTTAGCCAGTTTCTCCGGTTTTGCAACCGGATGACCAATTCACACGAACGCCATGTGCTTCTTTCAAGGGCATTTTTGTCCTCATATTCTAAGCAAAAAGGGCACACATAATCCACCGAAGGAAGCTGGAAAAGTGCTCATTTTTAGTCAAAAAGAGAGAGAAAATAAAAGGGGAAATTGCTGATCACCTACCCCAGTTGCCCCATGTCGTAGAATATCAAACAAAAGAAAACGCAAAAAGATGGGAATTTTTAGATAAAAAATAATTTTCGAAAAAATGGTGTTTCCTTTCTCACTTTTATTCCTCCTACTCTCCCCACCCCGCTGAAACAGAATGGCTGAGACGACGTTGCTTCAACTACTCAGACTCCACCAGGACGATGACGGCCTAGACGACGTCATTGAAGAAGTAGATTTTTCTCATCATCAAACCCATCCCCACCGCCATCATCTCGATCCCTATTGGTCTTCCGATTTCGATGCTATTGGTTGATCCCCCCAGCGACATCGTGTCGGAGCCCGAATCGGTTGTCACCAGCGCTGATCTTTTCGACCGCGAGAATCAGGTGAATTTCGTTATGGACCTCCTGCACCAACGAGTTGAGCAGTCCCAATTGTCCTCCACAACCTGTGTGGTGATTGACCTGGAGATTTCCGATGCTGACCCGAATTTCGGGATTCATGAAGGAAACGACGGAATGGAGCCGACCCATTTGGATCTTGATCTGAATCTAGGGTTTCTCGGAGAGCCCACTTCGGCAAATGTGGAAAATTCAGGGTTCGTAGCTGAAAATTTTGAGGGTGGGGACCATTTTGTAACCGGGTTGCGAGTCGTGGATATCGGGTCGGAATCGGATTCTGATATAAACCATGACGTTGAGATTGATTTTAGTGCTGACGATGATGATATAAGTGAGGGTGATGATGATCCAAGCCTTAGGCTCTGTTGGGATTCTTTTCAGATTGAGGATCATAGAGAAGTTAATGAGGATTTTGAGTGGGAGGAAGTGGATGAAGGAGTTGATGAGAGAGAGGTTCTGAGCATGTTTCTGGATGATGATGACATGCCGGCGATGGCCCGGGAGGAGAGTGCAGATGTATCTAGGAATTTGGACTGGGAGGTTTTGTTAGATGTGCAGAATTTGGAAGCAATCCCCGAGAATGTGACAGAGACGGCCATGGGATTGCGTGGGGGTTGCGCAGGGAAGAGTAAGGGAGGTGAGGGAAATCAAATAGAAAGGTGGACTATGTGTGCCCTTTTTTGCTTAGAATATGAGGACAAAAATGCCCTTGAAAGAAGCACATGGCGTTCATGTGAATTGGTCATCCGGTTGCAAAACCGGAGAAACTGGCTAAAAGGGCCACGGATTTCCCATTTTACAAGTTCGAGGGCTTAAAGTCAGCAAAAAATAGATGAGGGGCTTAATTTTACCTAGACAAAGAGTTAAAGGGCCAATTGAATAATTTGCCCTATTAATAATAGAATGGTCCTCTGTCAAACCTGAAAAAAAATTAGCTCTGCAACAAGACACGTTAGGATCTATGCAGCTTATTTTGACCCTGAAACTAGTGAATTTGATCAAACACAGATGGACAAACTTACTCTTATTCTTGATCCTACTGATGAGTTCGTTTGGACTGATGATATGTGTAATCAGGTTTACTCTTATTTCCAAGAACTTGTGGATCATTACGAGGTAACTTTTTTCTTTTTTTTCACTTTGCTTAATTATTTAATTCATGGAACAGGAACTTGCTTTTTCGTTCTCTTTTTTTTCCCAGTTTTTGTCATGTTGGCTGAATTAGGATGATTAGTACTATAGCAGGTCTTAAATTACGTTTACATTATTATTTTCTGGACTATCTGTCCTAGGCTCCTAGCCATCACAATTTGCAAGATGCAGCATTCAAGCACTAAGACTACTCAACAAATCAAAGTTTTCACTGAAGGTCGGCATTCTAAAAAAAACAAACCTGCAGATGAAGGTCGGTGTAGAACTTCTGCTTGAGGCTTGAGAAATCTGTTGAACAGTCTGCTTGAGGCTTGCAGAAATCGAAATCCAAAGTCTCTGTTGAATCGTCTGCTTGAGGAGGCTTGCAGGCTTGAGTTCAACTTGACAAAATTGAAGAGATGGAGAAAGGGAGTTTTCGAGAAAGAGAAGGAGAAAGTAAAGTGTCGGCCGCTGATCTGAATGGATGACCATTCCAAATTTTCCAATTGACCTTAGGGTTAATAACTTTAAGATATTACACAATTACCCTATATTTTCAATATTTATATATTATACCCCCGGGTCGGGTATCCGTGGGTTTTTATTTCTATGATCCGTATCCGTATCCGAATGTTTAGGGTACCCGACCCTATCTGATCCGTTGATAAAAATCGGATCGGGTATCCTATTTTTCGGTGCGGATCGGATCGGATTTCTCTGGTTTTCGGATTTTTTTGTCCACCCCTAGTGATCCGAAGGAAAACGGGCCTCACAAGTTCCATTTCACTTAAGTTGATGTAAATTAATAATTTATTCTCAATATATTTACACTAAATTGCTTTGACTTTATATTAAATGATAATAATTAGCTTATACCAATATGTATCTAATTTATTCCAAATAATAATAAATCAGCATACACTGAAGTGTACCTGACTTACATCAAATCAAACCTAATTCATACAGAAATTCTATTGATTTATACAAAAAATCAACTTATGTGAAATTATACGAAATACAAATTATGAGGCTCAGGATAGGTGGACAGATTCAGACGGCCATTTCCTAGGCGTCGAGGATATGTAGCTTTCTTGTACTTGAGGGTCCTGTGGTAACACTCACCATTTCGGGAATTGGACTGATCTCTGCACGAAGCAAGACCAAGAAGGATTTGGGGCAGGGACGGTCATCAGTATGACTGACCGTCCCTGCACGGTCGAGGGCCAAGATTGGCCCTCAAAATTTTGTGCGGTTGAGATTACACCATGTAACTCGATTTTCGCGCCAAGTGTGGGACCCATCACTATCTGTTGTGAAAATATATCCTGTGAAAAAAAAGTTACACGATATACAAAGAAAGTTACATGGTGTTGATAATGACCAAAATTGACAGGAACGGTTGGAGGTGCAACCGTCCGTGGCCCGAGTCCGACGAAGAATAAGGAGAAGGTGTCAGTCACCTGCTGCAGTATTAAATACTCAACAAAAGTTTTGGTTGCTAAGGTATAAAAGCAAAATCTTGCACTTGCTTCTGGTAATCTCGCTCCTTATGTGCTTGAATAACCCATAAAAGTACGCGACCTTTCTCTCAGATATATCCTCCGACAATCAAGTTAGTGAAAGAAATAAGTGGGAGAATTTTTTTAATAACAAATGAAGGAAGGAGAAGAAGATTTTTTTTTTTTTTATCTTTGGTATAGTTTGAGTATTTATACTTGCTTATTTTTCAAAAAAAAAAAATTTCACTTGTATCATAAATTTATTTTTTAATAAAATGTGTTATAATAATTATTTCATATATAATTATTTGAAATAATATTCTGTCCAAACAAAGCGTGTAACTACAGTGCTTCATGCATAGTTGCGACCTAAGATCTCAGATGAGGTATACGATTGTGACATTTGCTCAATTCGGCAACGTTCTCAACTTTTTAATAAAGATATGATCTTGCAATTGACCTTTACCTCGAGAGAATACTCTTTGCGCTGTTGGGGCAAAGAAAATTCAATTCTGCACAGCTGACTGGGAAATGGGGACCTGGAATTTGCGACATGACCTTAAAAGTCAAGGTCTTTGATCAACAGGTGCTCTTGACTTTCCTTTGTCCACACAAAGGAAATGCAGAAAATTTGAGATATGAGTAGTGATGTAACTCTCCAGCTACCAAATGGGATGTATCGGGTAATTGTCCTGCAGCTTCTTGATTAGTTAAACTGTTTACATATCTTGGCTACTCATTCAATCTGATTATGCCTAACATAGTTCGAGTTGGGAACATAAATCAAGGTGTAAATTATTAGAAGAATATCAAATCGGGAAAAATTTCAGCATCTACAAAGAAGCGTAACATAAGCGTAATATATGAATGCTTCCTCTTATATATGACTAATTTTATATGCTCATGCAACATAAGCGTAACCAAAAAAATTTTCTTTTGAGGGGGCAAATATATTTCTATCAATACCTAAGCACATAACATAAAATGTTATCAAGTTTTTGCTGGGGTGAAAGCTTAAATTTATGAAGAACATTTTCATATCTTCTAAGGGAGCACTTGGCCTGTTTGGATTGCTATTTCTAAGAAATTTTGTTGAAAAATGTACTATAGCGACTTGATGTATGTGAAATAAAAGAAAATATTTGAAAAATGTGTTTATAAAAAACATAAAAACTTTCCGACAAAAAATCACAATCCAATTCTGGTACTTGGGGGATGGCCCTGACCGCCACTCCTTGAGTCCATCCAAGCTCATGCAAAGCATTAGGGTGCCCAAGCGCAACGGATCTTCTATGCCACACCCTGTCTCACACCCTATCCCACTTCTTCTAATTTTGCCAAGTGTCCCTTGATAAACCAAACTCTCAAACAACCCAACCCGAACCATGTTAAATTGATTAATCGATTAACCGGCAAGAGAAACTTAATCTCTATAACCAAAACCGATTAAAATAAAAACTATCTCACAAAATCACAATTTATCAAGGAAAAAAAGCCCTAAAACTCAGTTTAACATCTGTCCTCTCGTGCAGGTGTTTTAGAAGTGTGTCTTCTCACCACAAAAGCAGGTTGATTAGGATTCGGAAGAGCTGCTGTTTCGCTACTGAGCATAATAAGAATGTCAGACATTGAGGGACGTTCACTAGGGTCATCCTGTACACACAGCAGGCCAATGTTGATGCATTTGATAACCTCAGTTTCGTTGCATGATTCCAGTATTTCCTTGTCAAGAAAATCGATTGATTTCCTTTCTTGCCACAATCTCCATGCCTGAGAGAGTTTTAGAATAAACATGTCATACCAATCCAAAGCTGTCTAAATATCAGTAAATTCAACGACAAGGCTTGGAAAATTCATGCACTTACATAGCCTAGAAGACTAAGGGCTCCTTCAGACTGGTAAAATCCAGCAGAGTTTCTCTTGCCACTAATAATTTCAAGTAAAATTACTCCAAAACTAAAGACATCTGACTTCACCGAGAAAAAACCTTTTACTGCATACTCTGGAGACATATAGCCACTGCATCACCAGCAATTATCAGAACAGCTATAACCTTGTAATAGATTTTCTGAGACAGGCTGAGAAAAGTAATGTACTTACTAGGTTCCCACTACTTTTATTGTATTTGCTTCTGTTTCTTTACCTTGAACTATTTTTGCTAAGCCAATACTTTACTGTTCAGAGTTTGAAACTTGTCCTTTTCATTCTCTGGGCACAACTTCATTCCTTGGACAACTTAGAAAGTTCTGCCAGTAAGCTTCCTCCGTCACTAAATACTCGGTCATCACCATTGTTAATTCTTCCTCAGAACTTTGACTCGTTTCTTTTGCGACCTATCCAAGTTTTTCTATCGATCCATCCACATAATAATCTCGATCTTTGCATCTAACAAATTCCAATATTAATCATGCTCCTCAATTCGCTCATCTTTCATTCTTCGCATTGATTCTCCATTTTTTGTCCTCGTACCAAAATTCAATTACAAAAAAATTATAAACATAAATGTACTATAGTACATTGGGCCAAAGGAACATGGATGAAGTGATTTAAGCCTTAGATAAGGCAGAATGTTTGAGACAATAAAAAAAGTATATTTATTAAATAACTTAATTTAAAACAAAATTGAAAAAGCTCCTTCAAGCAATTTTTGGGATATTAATATGGTTTTTCTGCTTATATCAATCAAATGAAACCTAACTACTGGAGTTGGGTCAGAGTGACCAGGAAAGAGCTCCTAGAGTTTTTTCTGTTGTCAGGTTCAAGATTCAAATTATATACCTAACAGTTAGGGGTGAGGAATGGTATGGATAGGGGTGGGAGAGTATAAAAAAAATTATAAAAAACCAAATGAAACCTTAAAGCTACCATATAGGGGACGTATATGTAATCTTTGAAATTTGGAAAAAAGTAGCTGTATTGTCATACATCTTAGGGGCAGTTTGTGAAATTGTTCCTTAATAATAAGCAATGCATTGATTTTCCCAAACTTCACTTGTGGCAAGATTCTTTTTGCCTTCTAGCGATGCATTGATTTTCGATGTTTTTGATCCCAAAAATTGGCTCAACCACCTTTATCACTAGACTTTGGTGCGAAGAAATGGTTTAATTTCCATGAAGTAAGATTAACTTCAACCGTTTTATTATTCAGCCAATTTTCAATCCTGAAAGGAAAGTATCCGATGGATGATTGAAACATTCTTCAATACTAATCCATTCCCTTTTATCTTTCTTAAGATTTACTCTGTCCCTGAGTGTAGCAATAGTTTGATTCATTATGCGATCAGCAAACTTGGTTGATCAAATTCTGCTGTTTCTTTCATCACTTGCCATCATATTCACTCCAGATGAGTCTATTTGCAACCTGCAAAACAAAATTTCCGCCAGATGTTAGGACTTGGGATTAAGTTAGAATTGCAATGTTGAGCTCTTTCAAGAATGACTAGTCTTCAAAATAAGCACATTGATCAAATTAGATTACACGTGTATCAGCAACTTTCCCTCTTATTCTTTTCTGACAACCGCATAGAAGGATTATGGTTAATGAAAGCTGGCAACAGATAAACCAATCTGACCTAGTTATATATTCACTAGTCATCACCAAAAAAATGAAAAAACCTGCGTCGTCTGTTAACTTTTTGAATGACATATATCATCTTTTGCTGAAAAGAGAAGTCACGAGACAATGAATCCTTGCTTAACAAATGCAAATGTGAACTACACAAAAAAAAATGATACCGTTGCTAAGAAAACTGGTGGTATGTTTCCTTCAAAGTCTCAAATCTGTCTTCAAAATTCACCAGAAGAGCTTGGAGCTCTTCTATAGGAATCAAAATTAGCAGTGCCAGTGGAATGCCTTCAAGACAGGTACGTCTGCATCCCCTCAATAATGAAACTATACAAGCAATGCCTTCATCGGCCTTCTTCTGCTGAGATAGTTATCTCATTGATGGAGTTAGTTTCTGCTTTACTAGACAAAGATGTACTTGAAGTGCGTCTTCTCGCTAAAAAAGTAGGTTGATTAGGACTTGGAAGAGTTGTTGTTTCACTACTGAGCATAGTAAGAACATTAGACATTGTGGGACGATCACTAGGATCATCCTGTACACACAACAGACCTATGTTTATGCACTTCACGACTTCAGTTCCATTGCATGATTCCAATAATTTCTTGTCAACTAAATCCATTGCTTTGTTTTCTTGCCACAATCTCCATGCCTGGGAGAGTGTTAGAATTAACATATCATTCTAAAACATCAATAAACATCAAATTTACAAGGTTCTCGAATCTCAAAGACTTACATAGCCTAGAAGACTCAAGACTTCTTCAGATCGGTAAAATCCAGTAGTGTTTCTCTTACCACCAATGATCTCAAGTAAAACTACTCCAAAACTATACACATCTGATTTCACTGAGAATAAACCTTCCAGCGCATACTCTGGAGACATATAGCCACTGCATCACGAGCAATCATGAGAACAGCAGTCACCTTATAACAGATTCTATGAGAAAGGCTGAGGAAATCAATGAACTTACTAGGTTCCAACTACTTTTTGTGTATTTGCTTCTGTCTCGTAGCCTTGAACGATTCTTGCCAAGCCAAAATCTGAAATTTTGGGGTTCATCTCTTCATCCAACAGAATGTTGCCTGTTTTCAAATCTCTGTGGATTATTCTTAACCTTGAATCCTGGTGAAGATAAAGAAGTCCCCGTGCAATCCCCAGAATGATGTTGAATCTCAAGTTCCAGTTCAATAATATGCAGCGGCTTTGATCTTAAGAAGTTTGCAGAGTAAACAATTCAGAATATAATATAACCATAAAAGAAGGTCGGTTGTTTTAAAATATTTGGTTAGATTAATTGGCTCAAAATATAATGTGGTTCCTTAATTGCCTTAAACTCTAAAAGCTGAAAGTTGAACAAAAGTTTCAAATGCTAACCAAATATAAAGGTATCTAAGCTTTTATTTGGCATGTATTCATAGAGAAGAATTTTTTCAGATCTCTGGATGCAGTAGCCCAAAAGTCTAACTAGGTTCCGATGTTGAAGTTTAGCAATCAACACAACTTCATTTCGAAATTCCTCCAGGCCTTGTCCAGAGTGGCTTGACAACCTTTTAACTGCAATTTCAGTTTCTCCAGGGAACATTCCCTGCAAGAGTAGTCCATTCGAAGTAAAGCTTAGGGAGAATAAACTAATGGAATCCGGATGACTAACACAAAAATAAGTTCAAAACCTTGTAAACAGGACCAAATCCTCCGCTTCCCAGTTTATTTGTGTCTGAGAAGTTATCTGTAGCAGCCAATATGCTTTCCATACTGAAATAAGGGACATCAACAATTTTATCATCTCCGACAACCAAATCTGCAGCTTGTGTTTCACTATCATCCAAGTAAAAGACTGGATTCCCTGCAATGCTTTTTCTGCTTTCTGATGGGAAGCAACAGTACTAGTTAGGCCTTATCTACCCTAATTAGAAAAAATTTGTACTACAACACAAAACGGTTCAGGTAATTAATGTCAGCTGCTGCATTAGCACCTTTTCTATTTGCTAAGATCCTCCTTCTGTAAACAACAAAGCATAAGCTGCACGCGAGCATAACTATAGCAATGGCTAAGCCACTAATTATCACAGCAATACGATTCACAGAGAGTTGCGGCTTCTGTTCTGACCGGTTTGAATCAGCCACAATTGCTGCAAAAGAAAAATTAACTAGTGAACCTAGTGATACATAAGATTTTTACCCAACAGAGCTGATGAAATAGATCCTTTTTTTCTTCAGAAACATGATATCACATGCAAAATTATATGTTCGCACCTGAAATGCACTTCAGGTTATTCCATTTGTAGTTGGGATTGCAAAGACACCTTTTCCGCTTATCGATTGCAGTTGAACAATTTGAATCTGGCCAACCCCTACAATCTTTTAATGAATTGCAAATTGGTTCCGGAGGGGGTTTCCAGGTAATCTCTATCATTTGAATTGAGGTAAGTGGTTCATTATAACACCAATTAGTAACATTAAATGGCATTGATGGACTGAACTGCAGAACTCTGCCTGACCTGGCATCACAATTCTCAGCCCTTTGGCGATTAACTTGGATAACAAATCTCCTGTCTTCCTTATTGATGTTAATCACTTCATAGCTATTGTTCAACATCAAGAAGAAAAGTTGGCCTCTGGAGTCATTACAGGTGAAACTATGGTATGAAAGATCGCCGCAGTTGGGCCCAGTGCTCAATGGATATGGTATTATGTGTTTACCACAAGTCTGGCAATCTCTACTCGTGGTTTCTGCAAATCATAATTTAGAAGTAACAAAAGATATTTTCATGCAATATTTAACAAACTACATTGACTATTACACATGCTCATGAGTCGAATATTTGTCAATTTTAGTGGCAGACGGTATCAGGTGAAGAATAAATTTTATTCTAATTCAATGTCATTCAAGGCAGTGGTAACATTTGGGATAGTAGATGACTTCAAATTCTTATTAAAAGAAGGTTACCTATGGCAGAAACTGCTACACGAAAGGAAAGATTGTGGCCACGATCAATATCCTCTTGTAAATCAGTAAGCACAGAAGTCCACATGGAGCAACCTTGTTCAAGATTATCAGTTATACTTGGCCCGCCGAAATAGTATGCAAGGCAATTACAATTGCTGAGACACCCCTGTCTGCACAAATTTTCACTGTTAGCACTAGCAGCTAAGAAGTCCGGTTTCCCGGCTTTCATCAACTTCAGATTCAAGAACGTGTGAGGTTTGGTGTTCGGGTTGCAGATTTCCAACGTCCTCCTACAACCACTTTTAAAATCTCCAGTATTCCAGGTATCAGGATGAACGGGCTCGAATCCTAGCAAACATTCACAACTACGACCCCCATTTTTCAGATTACAGCTACCAAAATTGCCACAAGGGAGATGGACTTTGCAAGCATCTTGGGGCTCTGACGAAACCAACAACCATTCAGGCACACCCTCTTCCTTAATGTAAAACTGTATCTCTCCAGAGGAATTCATCAACAACCTAGTATTTGCATACTTAGCTAGAGCAGCCGAATAGTTAGAAGTAAATGGCTCTCTTAGCCACTTATATATATTTGTTTTATATGCATTTGAAGGCTTATAATTAGCCCGGTCGAGACTAGGGCTAAAATTTGACAAGAGGAAAGCCACAAAGTAAGGCAGGTCAATTGAACCTGATTGATCACTTTCCCAGTGCACAACAGTTGACCTTTCCATTATCCTGTACAGCCTATTTTCTTGATCTTGCTCAAATGTGAAGTTCCCAGTTTTAGGATTGCCAGAATCCCACCAGGAAACCAACTTTAAACCTTTATCCATGCTCATGCCTGGAAGAAAAGTATCAGTTGGCTCAGCAAAGCTTTGCCACAGAATATTTCCTGAGCTCCCATCAATCAGTACCAAATTCCCAGAATCCAGCAGCTTCAGCATCCTGTTAACAGGACTAGAGCTTTCAAGCGTAGTATTGAAATATGAAGTTCCCATCTCATCCAGCAACTTGAGATTGCCATCTTCACCTATGGAAAGATATCCATATGAATGTAGTATTGGTTTATCTCTGTTGGCAACCCATACAACTGTTTTCCGCAGGTAATACCATATGCCTAGATATGTTTCAACATCGTTACCATCAGGACTGAAGAAGCCAAGTTCAAAGATTTTCCCAGCAGACATGAGCGTGCTGCCATCATCTTGCAACCTACTGATAGAGGTGATGTTGTCCATTGCTACACATGACAGAAACTGACTGGTTCCCAGTGCTACAAGTACAAAGAAAATCAGAGAGAAGCTAGGAGGTTGCATATGGTTTTACAGATTAAAGACTATTGACAATTTATCTGAATTACACAGAAGTTTATCTCTCTGAATAAGGAAGGAATTGTTGTTCTGATGGGAAGAATCAGAGTCAACTAGAGAAGTGCATGCGGAATGTGGACCGTGTTAGCTAGTCTTTTTTTCTTGATAAACGAGAAGTGGAAAATTTTTTGTCTTCTGCGTGATTTTTCTGCCAAGGAAGTTTGCTTAAACTTCTATATTGAGATTGGGACATAGTTTTTGTTTTAAGATTCTTTTGTATATTATGAAGATGGACATTAACATATTTTTTGATATCCACCAGTGGTTGGATCCAGGTTTAATTTTTAGTGATAGGTTTATTGGACTATATTGTAATCATTTTTAACAGAGTTTTAATTCAATTCATAGTAAACTATAGTATTTGTTTTTAAAAAGATTCTTTTAATTCAATTCACAGTAAACTATCGTTTTTTTTAAAAAAATTCTTCTTTTCTCCAATCCAATTTGGAAGTGAAGAATTTCTTGGTCGTATTACATGTAATTGAGCTTACGATTGTCAAAAAAAAGTCTTGATTTAGTGGCTAAATTTAACATCTTAGGATTTAGAAATTCTGAGTTAAAAATCTCTTCCCAGCCCAAAAAACAATTTTTCAATTGAGTTTATGATTTGCGGGAGAAAAAAAAATGTTAGTGTTTTCGTTCCCTATATAGTTTTGCCCCTCGAAATTATTGGAGATTCTAGCAAAAGGACAGTTTCGTCAAGTTAATGCCACGCGTGTAAAACGTTTTTTAGAGTGCCAATATCATTGGCTTTTGGGTATGACAGCATTTATAAGGTCGGTACAAAAATGTAATTATAAATATTTTGGGAGAATATATGTACGTAGGTATGTTGAACCAAAAGTAATTTGGCTTGATTACAAATAGATTTATACAATGTAATTGCTAAAGTCGTTAGAGCAAATGGCTAAAATAATCTGTAAACTATTTAGAATTTCGTATTTTAGTTGCTGAGCTTTTTATTTAGCTAAAAAGTCATTTAACTAATAAAAAAATATTTTTTTTTGTCACCCAATTAATAAAAACTTTAACCTTTATTCATTCAACAAATGAAAATTTACATTTTTCCGTCACAAAATGTGTTAATTGTCTTAATTAGTGGAATGATAATTTTAATTGAATCAAAAGTTTAATTTTAGATAGTTTTAGTTCAACGATTGTGACATTTGCTCAATTCGTCAGCATTCTCAACCTTTTATTAAAGATGTGATCTTGCAATTGACCTTGACCTCGAGAGAATACTTTTTTTTTTCCGATGACTGAGAAACTCAGACTTTTTCGTTACTAAAGTTGACCTGCGAGAAACCTTCAAAAGCCGGCAACTTTTGAAGGCTCCCGCAGACCTTAATAAACCCAAACCCCAAACCCCCCCGAACCGATGTGGGATAGAAACCCCACAGGGGCATTGTGGATAGAAACCCCCCGAAAATTGACCTCGAGAGAATACTCTTTGCAGTATTGTGGCAAAGAAAATTCAATTCTGCACTGCTGATAGGGAAATGGGACCCTGGAATGAGTGGCAGTCAATTTGTGATATGACCCTAAAAGTCAAGGTCATTGTTCAACACGTGATATTTAATTCTTAATAAATATGACATTTTGTGATAGATACTGTTACCTATCTTTTTACCCATATTAATATTTGGTGCAAGCGAGTACTACATAAATACTTAAATTGGAGACAAGGAAAAGAACAAAAAAAAAATTCTTCTTGAGGTTAGTAATTATTAAGTGTCCTTCCTGTAAGTATTAATTATTTAGGCTCTATTTGGATCCTTCAGTTTTTCAAAAACTAGTTTTTAAAATACTAAAAAATTTTTAAAAAGTACTATAAAAGGTACTCTAAAAAGTAGTCTAAATTTTTCAAAAACACCCCCAAAAACAGCTAATTCAAACAGACCCTTAGTTGTTAAGGTTATAGAATTATAATTTGATGTTATATTAGCCAGGAAGAAGTAAAAGTAAAAGTATTGTTTCCGCATTTCTATTCGAATTAGATATAATAATTATAAATATATGACAGAGCTTAACAAAAAGAATTCGTTGAATTTTTTACTGGTACCAATTTCTTTTTTGCCTGCTAGTAGTACTAGGCTTTTTCTTCTTTTTCTTTTTTTTAATCCTGATGGTGCATCGCGGTTGGCAATCCATAAGTTGTAATACCGTGTCCCTACATATCTTCCTGTATTGGCACTATCTTCAGGGCTGAAGCCAATTCAAATCTTTTCCCAGAAGACATATAAGAGTTGTGCCATCATCTGGCAACGAACTGTTAAGAAGTGATGGTGTCTCTTGCAAGACATGATTGGAGATTATCCACCAATGCTACTAGTAGTAAGAAACTCAGGGAGATGCTGGTAGATTGCATATGGTTCTACAGTTGAAGATTGTCGAGTTAATAGGACTACAAAGGATTTGATCTCTGTAATTGTCGAATTAATAGGACTGCATAAGATTTGAAATAAGAGAGGATTTGCTGTCCTGATATACGAAACCATGGTCAACTGGAGCAGAATACCGTGGCCTATGTTAGCTGGGCGATGTGCCAATTGAGCATGGTTAGGTCATGTAACACGTTGGCTTGATTTGAAGTTGTTGGACCATTAATTGTTATTTGATTAGCAATTATCCTGTGAATTTGGAGCAAAAGATTTTCATTTACCAAGCATTTCTTTTAAATCAATTTGACCATGACAGCATTTGTAAAATTGATAGAAGTGCAACAAAATTCTTTAGAACCAAAAGTAATTTCATCTAGTAATAAAGCATCTGTTTGGAAGGTGTATTTTTTAGGTGTTTGTATAAAATTTTATTATAACTTACTATAGAATCAGTTACAAAATTTGTGTTATTATCACTTTACCCCCTTAAACTATATCACTACTATCAATTTACCCCCTAACGTTATCTTTTAGTCACTTTACCTCCATAAGTAATTTAATTCAACATGTTAAGAAATTTTAGACAAAAATAGCCTTTTATTTTATAGCATTACTACATTGTCATTATCACTTTAACATTATTTTGTAGGCATTTTACCTCATCATCAATCTAACTAGTATGGTCAAAAAATTTTAAATATATTTACTCGTTTTATATATAATTAAAAATAAAAAGTTGGAATGGTTATTCTTCATTTTTTTCACTTTAAGAGATCGAAAAATACAAAAATAAAAGGGTTTTCTCAAATTTCTTTTTTCACACTTATTAATACTAGAAAAAGAAAAAGAGATAGGAAAGAAGGAGAAAAAAATTAAATTTTGCAAAAAAAAAAATAAAGAAAATAAAGAAAAGTCTAACATTATCTATTACTTTAAGGTTGTCAAGATTAGGATTGGAATTTGGTGGTAAATAAAAAAGTGAAATAATTTTAAAATAATAAAATATTTAATTCTTTCTTATTTGTAATTTTTAAAAAAGAATTGAGCTCTCTCTCTCCCTCTCTCCCTCCCCCTCTCCATCTTTCTATTTTTTTTTCAATATTAATAAGATTGCCAAGAAGAAAGAAATTAATACTTTGACTTTTTTCTTGATACTAAAAAGGAGAAGAGTCACTCTAAATTTTTTATTATTTTTATTATGCAAAGAGGAGGGTATTTTCTTCTAAAATTTTTTAACTTGCTAAGTTGGTTTAATGGTAGGATAAATTGTCTAAAAATAACTCTATGGGGTAAATTGATAATGAGACCATATTTTATGGAGATAAAGTGATAATAATTTTAAGGGTTAAACATGTCTTTTCACTTTAATTAACAAACTCCGTTAAGTTTGATCATTAGTCTTGGGGGTAAAGTAACTAAAAGATAACGTTAAGGGGAAAATTGATAGTATCACCAAACGTTAAGGGGGTAAAGTGATAATAACCAAAAATTTTTTATGTATTTGAGAGTTGGGAAAACAAAAAGTTTTATGTATTTGAGAGTTGGGAAAGCAAATTTTCTTTTTGCTTTTTCTTTTCCTTTTCTTGGTCGTTTTGTTTTTCTTCTTCCTCCCTCCCTCTCCTCTCCCTCCCCAGTGCCACTACCCTACTCTCCCCACCTACTCCCCCTACCAATGTTGGAACCTCCCTCCCACCTTTTTTTTTTCTCTTTGCTCCATCTCTCACTCCTCCCACTTTCCTCCTCTTCCCTCCATTCCTCCCTCTTCCTTCTCTCCTTTCCCCTCTCCTTCTCTTCTTTCCCTACTGGTCATACCTCACCATCCCCTCTCCCACCCTATTCCCCTTCACTGAAACCTTCCCCCTATCCATCCCCCTCCTCCTCTCCTATTTGTTGCGTGACCAGTAGGGGAAGGGTTTCGATGAAGGGCCAAGGGTGAAAGGGGTGGTAGGAGAAGGGGGAGAGGCAAGAGAAGGAAAGGAAGGGAGAAGGGAGAAGGAAAGAGGGAGGAAAGAATGGGGGGAAAAAAAAAGAGTCATCGGTGCTAGTGGAGGTGGCAACCAACACCGGCCAATGGTAGAGGTGGTGGTAGACTAAGGTGCTAAGAGAAAGAAGAAAAAAGAAGGAAAAAAAATTCTGCATTTTTGTTTATTTAAGGTGTGTATTCTAAAAATTTTGAAGAGTTTTTTGAAATTATTGTAGTTAAAATTGTTGAAAAACTTGTAAAAGAAAACCTTACGAAAAAACTCACCTGGCAAACAAACCTAAAATTCTATATCATGCATTATTAAATACGTTACCATTTTTAATTTTGCTAGTAAAATATCTAATGTCGGAATAAATTATACTCTCAAACAATGTCCCTCGACAAAATTACTTTTTAAGTTTTTCTATCGGATACTCATTAATCACTTGTTAACATACTTAAAATTCAATATACCTACCATGAACTACAATTATTACCCTCACTTATATTTATATACTTTCCTATTTAATCTGACACGCTCTCCTCTATATTCATTTACTTTTCCTTAATGAATCTTATATTTTAAAAAATATAACATCTAAAATATATTTTAGCGAGTAACTAATGACCATTGGTTAAGCAGACCCTTACTTTTAACATTTTCTGCGCAAGTACTCAATTGTACTGCATAGGTAGTACTGGACAATTCAGGGAGAACTCATTTAGCAGCCGGCAACAAAGTCCTGTAAACGTAAAGTCAAATCTTAGTGAGAAGATTTACTACTACTATATAATTGGCACCGGCCGGCTAACTAGGAGTTTTCGGATTGCGCGTTCCACGGGAATATTTGGCATAAAGCAATTAGGTAATAATGCAAAACTAGACATGCAAAAGTTTTGAGAAAAGAAATCTAATCTATTGTGATTTTATGGTCTTGTTTTCGAGCAATTATATTAATTGATTATAGATTTTGATTTTAAATAATTAGTTTTTGTGATATTCTTGTTTGCTTTTTATATTTAGATTGTAGATTTTTTTTAATAACTAAAATAGTTAAAATCCATAATCAATCAAAGAGTTGCTTTTGTTTGTTGATTTTAATTATTCTCTACAATTACTTTCCATAATCACATTTTGCAGAATCTAAGGCAAGTGAAAACAAGACCATATTCGTCAAAAAAAAAAAAAAGAGATCAAGACCATATTAGCCTGGAAAAAATTACAAGTATTGCGTCAAGATTTCTGATCAAACTATATGTAACGGATGTAAACACATGATAGAGCTTAAAGAAAGAGTTACAAGGAGCAAGATTAATTCAATTGTAGCAAGATTCTTTGTGCGTTCAAGAGTTACAAGTAATATTTTGGTAAATTGACCAACTACAAATTGCTAGCCAATTCTTTTCGTTTTCTTTTTTAGTGTTTGCTTTTACTTATGTCCCATTATCTCTAAGATTGTCGTAGGCACCTATGTTTGTGGGTATTCACTGTGAATGCAAGAAATGCTAAAAAAAAGATTGAGAAATGGAAATTCCTAATCTAAGAATATTGAATATTTCTTTAGTTAGCAAGTAGGATGTACATGTAATTAGTCCTGTTAGTGATCATTTACGCTTTATTTCGAGGAAAAGTTAATGGGAATGTGAGTGAAAGAAAGTGAAGTAAAGAATAGTGAAGATCACTTTCTTATGTATATTTGTTTGATAAGAAATATTTTGAGAGAAAATAAATATTCAATAGTAGTTATTGACAATATTGTGAGTAACTAACAATTTTTCTACTAAAAAAATAATTTTAGTTATTGACAATATTGTGGTTTATCAAGGTCTTTGATCAACATGTGCTCTTTACTTTCCTTTGTCCACATTAAGGAAGTTCGTAATAAATATGATATTTTGTGATAAAGACTACTATCTTTTTACCCAAATTTTTGGTGCAAGCAAGTACTAGATAAATACTTAAATTGGAGACAAGGAAAAGAACAAAAAAAAATTCTTCTTGAGGTTAGTAATTATTAAGTGTCTTTCCTGTAAGTATTAATTATTTAGGCTCTATTTGGATCCTGCAGTTTTTCAAAAACTAGTTTTTAAAATACTATAAAAATTTTTAAAAAGTACTATAAAAGGTACTCTAAAAAGTAGTCTAAATTTTTCAATAACACCCCCAAAAACAGCTAATCCAAACAGAGCCTTAGTTGTTAAGGTTATAGAATTATAATTTGATGTTATATTAGCTAGGAAGAAGTAAAAGTAAACGTATTGTTTCCGCATTTCTATTCAAATTAGATATAATAATTATAAATATATGATACCAATTTCTTTTTTGCCTGCTAGTAGTACTAGGATTTTTTTTTTTTAATCCTTCCACCTCGTCTCACACTCTTCTTGCTTTAGAGCCTAACAGCAAAGAAGACTTTAACAAGTAAGAACCCTCCGCTGGGGAAATCTTCATTTTTAGCCAGCCCAAAAAAAAATGGATTGATAATTGGTGTAAATTGACTAACTTCAAATCACTAACCACTTTGGGCTTAGCACCAGGAGTGGTATTGCAGGGGCTGGAGGGCTATTACGCGATGAGAATGGGGTGTGGATCAGCGGATTTCGGGCAAACCTAGGACAACGGACCATAACTGAAGCTGAACTTTGGGCGATCTGGTTTGGAATGCAGACAGCATGGGAAAAGGGGTACACGAAAGTGATCATTGAAACTGACTCTAAAATGAGTTTAGAGCTCATTGACAAAGCGGCAACGGAGAGCCCCCTTATGGTGACTATCAGCCAAATCCGGAACTTAAGGAAGAGACAATGGCAATGTGAGGTAATACATCAATGGAGGGAAGGCAATATGAGTGCGGATTGGTTAGCTAAGAGTGGATTGAGTCTGGAGGAGAGGGTCCAAGAGTTGGCTTCGCCACCAGAGGAGGTGAGGAAGTGGTTGGCATATGATGTCCTAGGCGTTGCAACTCCTAGATTAGTTGGCATGTAATGGGTCTAAAGCCCTCCTACCAAACCAAAAAAAAATCACTAACCACTTTCTTTCTTTTTTTTTTCCTTTATTTTGTTTCGTTATTTTTGCCCCATTGTCTCTAAGATTGTCATAGGCATCTGTTTTTGTAGGTTAAATTCAAGAAATGCAGAAAAATTGAGATATGAGTAGTGATGTAACTCTCCAGCTACCAAATGGGATGTATCGGATAATTGTCATGTTGCTTCTTGATTAGTTAAACTGTTTACATATCTTGGCTACTCATTCAATCTGATTATGCTTTACATAGTTCGACTTGGGGAACATAAATCAAGATGTAAATTATTAGAAGAATATCAAATCGAGGAAAATTTTCAGCTTCTATAAAGAAGCGAAAGAAGGAGCTTCTATTGAATGCTTCCTCTTATAGATGACTAATTTTGTATGCTCATGCAACATAAGCGTAACCAAAAAATTTTTCTTTTGAGGGGGCAAATATATTTCTATCAATACCTAAGCACATAACATAAAATGTTATCAAGTTTTTGCTGTGAAAGCTTAAATTTATGAAGAACACTTTCATATTTTCTAAGGGAGGATTTAATATTCTAATACTTGGGTGATGGCCCTTACCGCCACCCCTTGAGTCCGTCCATACTCATGCGGTGCATTAGGGTGCCCAAATAGCAGTTTGGATTGGTCAATCGATAATTTGTTAAGCTGTAACGTCTAAGCAAAAATATGGTAAAACCAATTAGTTGTAACAGGCAAATAATATGAAATGAGAGTGGACATGCTATAACAATGAAAGGAGCTTGAAAATAGGTATATCAGGTTCGCTCAACGGTGGGAAATGTTATGGACTGACAGAGGACAGACCAGTATGATAAAACTTCCAAGTGCATACAAATTAAATAGGCTTGAAGAAACAGAAAGAGGATTGCATGGGAGGCTATTGCTCTGGAAAATAAAGAAGGAACAAAAAGGTAGGTAGAGTAGGATAGTAAGGAAGGATGTGTAATTGATCCATGCTACGGCTGAAGTTTCCTATATTCACTTGAACTAGCAGATGTTCACCATGCTTGCGCATGGTGGAAAATCATAATTATGCCCAACCCAGTTTTGGCTAATAGTTATAAATATTATATATGAAAAAAATTGCATAATATTTTTTAAGTGTGTTAATGTGTTAATCTTTTAACAAAAACTAAGTCATAAATTAGAATAATATTTTTTGTTATAGGATGTTTAGTAGGGTTAATCCACAATTGAATAATAGCTGGACACAGGTCAATTTTGATATTCACAGAAAAGAAATAAGTTTGTTGTATTTGAATTATTATTTACTAAAACAAATGTATGATAAAAGCTAAGAAATGGATAATTAGACTTTCACTGCTACTGAAGTTAAAATTATCTATTTATCTTTAAGATACAAGACTAACATTACAAGAATTACCATCCACATGAAAATAATCTCTATAAGAATTGAGCTTCTTATTGCCAACTCGATGTAGGTTATCATTTTTCCAATCATCTCACTGCCTTGCCTTTTCTTGAATAGCAACATCATCATCATCCTCCTCTTCACCACGTCTCAAGTCATCCTTAGGGCCTTAGCCAATGTGACAGTAGTCAATTTCTATAATAATCAACAACCAAAATGTGAACAACATTTTTCAGTAAAACCACTACAACTTCTGATCTAAGTAGGTGCATAGCATCTCTTAAAATATAATTGGCTTCTTGATTCATCATATATCAAGTCAACAAAATCGAAGTAGCATCTCTAACATGTTTGAACATTTGATGGTGTTTAGAAAACCATGCAGATGACCTATTAGTCTATTTAAAAACAGAAAAAGGAAACTATAGAAGGAAATAAAAAAAAAATAGAATGTAGTGTGTGTCTCTGATGTAGAGAGAGGTAGAGAGAGCATTTGCTAAAGAAACAGGGTAGGATACAATATAGGTTCTCAGGTTGTATTAGGAAAGCTGACTATGAACTCCAATGATTCTAGCCTCGTTTGGAGACAATAAAAGCTTGGTAAATGGGATAATTATCTAGCACCATGCAAGCAAAAAGGTCCTCGCCCCCTTGCAAAAACGACCATTTGTTCTTGATCATTCCAAAGAGCTAGGGAGTAAAACCACCTAAAGCAAAGCCAACCAAAATGCATTGAACATTTACCATGCTCAAGAACAAACTTAGGGAATAGAGTAACCTTCTGCTATATTGCACAAGAGCCAAAATTTACAGCCTTAGAAATCCCTCAAATTTAAAGAAAGATGGCTAACTATTTTCTTTATCGATCAAAAGAAAATATATAACAAGTACTTTTCAGTTCCATAAAACTTACCATTCATCCACTAAGGAATGTTAGTAATCCATGACAAAATCTTCAAACATGCAACTACAACACTGGAAAAAAAAACTAATAACAAATCTAAAAGGAAAAAAAAGGTGCCAAGAAAACAGGATCTCCAACAGCGAGACATTTGCATGTTATTCTTGCTGAAGAAAAAATATTGGTTGAAAGGTTAAGGTATTACGTTTTAAACTTGAATTCCACCATTGATATATAAGAATAGGGTAGAAATTCACGTGAGAAGAAATTATCTAAAATTTGTCAATAATGGTCTGAGATGCTATGTGCCAAAGAAATATTAGGAAGAAAGGACATATAAAACATACTGCAAGAGAGTAACTAATTAGGGCATAATGGAAAGAAAAAATTTTGCATTTCATATTTACTTGTCAAACAATAAATTATTTGTTCAGCTTGAATTTTACCATTGGAAATTAAAAATAGTAAACAACTCACGTGAGAAGAACCTTTCAAATTTTTCCCTTTTTTCCTTTTAGACCTCCTAAAATTTTTCATTAATGGTTTGAAATGCTCTAAGCTCAGGAGAAAGTAGAAGAAAGAAAAAAATAGATAAAATATATGCGCAATAAAATAAGAAATGAGGTCATACAAACCTTACCTTTTAATAAATTCTCAAACCTAAATCGCAAACTTTAAATAAACAATAAATGGGCACATATTTCTGAAAAAAAAGTTCCAACAAAACCCACAAAAAATGAAATCTGTCAACAAAATTGTTTATGAAGGGAAAAAATTCTAGATATTATGGGTACCTATATCAGATTTTTCCACATCTTAGTAGAGGGACAATGGTTCTTGCTCCTGCGTTTGGAGAGACTGAATCAAAACAAAGAAGGAAAATGTTACCGAAAAAAAAGAAAGAAAACAGGGACATTAAACATAGGCAAAAAGGGTGAAAGTTTACCATGATTACATTTGGGGAAAAAAATGATTCAGATGACTGAGATGAATCAAACATCTTCCCCCTTCATCTTTGTTTCCTCTTTACTATTATTTGAATAGAGAGCTTGAGAGGAATCGACCATTAACGAAGAAGTGAGGAGAAATGGGTGAGACAAAGGAGTCATCTGCCTTTTTTCTATTCTGTTCTGGTGGGCAACCGAAGAGCAGGGGAAAAAATTTGAGAAGTGAGAGACTTTGAGAAAGTTTCTGAGAGGGGAGGCGGTGAAACGTGTTACTTGGCACATTGGACAGAGAGTCCGAACAGATGCATGCTTTGCTTTTTTATGCTTTTCATACATACATGCAAAACCTTTTTCGTTCCAACTTCCAAGACAACAAAAGAAGAGCCTTTCTATTAGTCTCTTTTGGATTCCAACACACGAATATTCATCAAAACAAAAAAATTCTCACACAAAATCACGTGCAATGCACATGGAGGACGACCATGTTTTGGCATCCTCTTCCCGGTTTATATACATTCTTTAAACAAAAGAAAATGTCAACATGCAGGATCATGAGCAATGGTAATAGTTTTGACGAGCAAAGTATAATGAACCCTTTTGCCTACCACCTTGGAAGTGCAATCCTTTGATTTCTTGTTGGCTATGGAAAGTAATTTGATCGTGTTTTTGAGTTCAGCTCAACATTCATTTCTGAAATTGAAGTATCTGATGCATGATTGAAAATTTCATTCAATATGTGATTCATTCACTTTATTTCTGTTTTTCTTTCGTGATGTTAATTTGTAGTATGTGTAATTCTTTTGTTTTATAAGAATTGTTATATCATGGATAAATTTGAAATTTAATTGCATTTAATTTCGAAATACTCATCAAACCAAGCATTAGGAATTGGAATGATACTAATTCCAATGTGTGAAACAAACTAGATATTAGAATGAAAAGTTTAATTCCAAAACCAGAGTCTATTATTCCATTTCCATTTTTTATTTCAATATGTGAAACAAGCACCCCTAAGCATTTGCTAAGTAAAAGCGGAATTGCACGATGTTGTTTAGGTGTTATTGAGTGATAAAATGGATGAACAAAACGAAAGAAAAATGAACGATCCTGTCATAAAAGTAACCAACTAATTACTGGACTTGTGTCTGCAAAAGCTAGATGGTAGAAAGTCCTCAACATGTTTTGTTAGTGTTCAAAGAAAGAGATGTGCTCGAAACCTTAGAATATTTTGGCAGTACATTCGAAATTAGAAAATCTAGTTTACTACTGCATTTCTATGTAAACAAAAAGAGATAGTGACTTAGTGTATGTTGTGGATCAAACAGCATATATTATTCTCCTAACTATTAAAAAGTAAGGTTTCCACTAAATCTGCTGAGTAATACATGAACAAGTTGCATATTCAAGTTGAACTTAATTATAGCCTACATTAACACAAATTTTCTCACTAGCCCCTGAGCTCAAAACTATTCAAGGATGAATGCAAGTTAACTCCTTGTAATTGCTTTTTTCTGTCTTTTTTTTTGAAAGAAAAAAAAACTCAATGCAATTATCAGATTGAGAGAACCTAGAACTCTGCCAATAAGGTATGTGACACAAGCATCTCATGGACGTTACTCAAACTGGATTGCACTGTCATGAATGATCCTATAATCTAATGATGTCAAAAGTCTGACAAGTGTTTGACCATGCAGAGACTCGCATAAAAGTGAAGACAAATGAGTAATATACATCAGAAGCAATATTTCCTTTGCACTTCTTCTGAGAGCAACTGTGTTCTTGCTATAACTTCCGTGTCCGAATCATCTACCATACAAGGTACTGATTCTCCCTCATCGATCTTGCAGTCAATGTTTGTTTATTTTTCACTAGTTTATTTGGTTCTTCTATTAATTGTCTAGTTGGTTGAATGATTTAGGAGTTTTTTAGCATATTTGTAGGACTATTAATGATGCTAGGAAGCAAAATTAATCAATTCTCTTCAATAATGATCACCTGCATGGACAGAATCAGGGGGCGGGGAGGGGCAGCCGCCCTCTTGCCCCCAAGCCTCAAGACTCTATTCATATTCAATTTCCCACCGAGCATAGGTTTTTAACCTGTTATGGTGTTTTGTATCACTGTGTATTTGATTGTTTGCTTTTGTTAAACTAAAATCCTAGTTTTGTCACTCATCACCTTTGCCTGAAATTAAGATATTCTCATTTTCTTTTTCAAACATACATGTAATATTCTTTTTTTGGAAAAAAAATGTTAATAGAATCTTATCATGATTATTACAAGAAAACATGTCTTGGCATATATCATTTAGTCGTTCAGACATTCATTTTAGCTAAATTTTTACTAATGAACTAGATTTTATTTTGATTACCACATACTAGTGATCTTACGTTAAATGAAGCTAACAATATTTTGATTTTTTTAGGTCACGCTTAAGAACTGAATGCACGTTTTCAAGCTTTCACTAACATGGATTGTGAGACTCATAAAGATAGGATTAGCGATCTTCAAGAAGGCCTTCTGTCTCACATCTTGTCTCGCCTTCCAACAAAGGATGCTGTGCGCACCTGTGTTTTATCCAAGACGTGGGAGATGAAGTGGAATTGTATATGGAGTCTTGATTTCTACGGTAAATTGCTTTACTTGAACCAGGTGATAGACAAGGAGAGATTTAGTAGTTTCGTTACAAAAGTACTTAATCACTGTGGAAATACAATATCTCAGAATTTTGGGCTCATATTGTCTCAAAAGTATGATCCAAATCATATAGTTGCATGGATTTCTACTGCACTGGATCATGATGTCAAGAGCCTTTATCTACATTACGATCGAAAAGACCGCGCTTTGATCTCCCGAGTTATTTTTTGCAGTGCAGATCATTACAGGAAGTAACGATTATGATGGCTTGCACTCCGAAAGTTTCTCAGGTTACTTCATTCAAGAACTTGAAAAATTTATTCATCGAATCAGCCAAATTTGTTAATGAGAGTAATCCTAGACGCCTTCAGTTTGTCCATCTTCCCTGTTCTAGAAGAGTTTACCTTGGTCCAACGTGAAGATTGTCCGAATAGAAGCTCCCCGTCTTTGCCGATTCCACCTGACCTCGTGCAGGTATCAGAATGGTCGTGGTCAAGTACACAAATGCCATATCATAATTTCAGGATCCTGTCTCACAAAATTTAGATACGAGTCTATCTAATAACTTCAGAGAAAACAAAGTTGATTAATGATTTAGGTCTTTGATGAAATTTTGCTTGACATTAGTGGTTTTCCTACATAATCCAACGGTCATTGAAAATTATAGGGTATTACGGAGGTTGTAATTGAAAATTAGTGGCTCCTCGAAACTGCATGTTTCAGTCCTGCTGATGGCTTTTCCATTCTTGATGCTATTGACAAACTTGGCAGTAAATTACTATCTGATTTGTTCATGCAAACTATGAATGAAATACGGAAGCTTAATTGCAATGTGTTGCTGAGTTGATGATTGGAGAATCAACACAGCATCTTGCACTTTCTTCCCAACTATGAACCAAAGACTAAGTTTTGTAGCTTTTATTGGTCAACCAGAATCGCTAAGGAAGTTTCTGTCTTGACTTCCGAAGATGGAAGTCCTAATAAAGAGAATTAAATTTTAAGATCTAGGGTTTAAACTAACTAATTTTAATTTAAGGTTGTCTGCGGAGTAAAAAGTGCTGTTGGGTGTTTTACAATCTTAAAGTGATAGATGTAGAAATCTCACTTTTTTTTTCTTTTGGGGTCAAAAGTTATCCTTTTATATATTCCGTAACCTCTTTTTTTTTTTATCGTAAGGACACATGTCTAGCCTACTCCTACTCCTAGGGGGCGAAGGAATCTAACGGGGACTGAACCACCATCATACCGTAACCTTGATAAATACAGAATCATACACAAACTAACTGGCAACTACTAGGAATCACTATGTGCAGCTTCGAGAAGCCACACAAGGAAACTATCCTGACATCTAGTTTTGCACGTAAAAAAACTATCCTTCCACTTAGTTTAGTTAATAAGGTTGATGGCAAATTTTGCCAGACCCATGATCACACAAGTTGACTTCTCTTTTAATAAAGAAGAATGTACAATGCCAGAATGCTCTACACAAAAACCTAATATCATTTACAAATACATCAATCTAAAATTAGTCAATCCCATGGATTAAGATTAGCAGTTTTCTTTCCTAACTTTTTTTTCTTCTCTCACTCTCTCTCTTCAAAATCTACCATAAAATATGTCAGGTCAATCATTTGTACTGATTTTTATCCAATTTCATAAGATGTAACTCAATTTCTTCATGATGTAACTAACTTTTAACAAAAATATGTCAGTTTTTGTCCAATTTCAGAAGATGTCTTTTTCATAATGTAACTCACTTTTTACAAAAAATAACTATAGAACAAACTATTGTGGATTCTATACCAGGCATTGAAAACACTATACACGTAGTAATCTATCCCTTACATTCTTTTTTCATACCGTAGTTATCTATACAAACGAGCTTGGAGTTCCGCTATCGGACTCAAGATAGCAAAGCCAGCGAATGCCTTCGAGATAGTACAACTTCATTTGCTGGACTATACAATGAAACAATCAACGCCTTCATCGGCCGTCTTCTGCAGAGATGGTCATCTCGTTGATGGAGATTGTTTCTGCCTTACTAGACAAAGATGCAGATGTACTAGAAGTGCGTCTTCTTCCTACAAAAGCTGGTTGATTCGGACTTGGAAGAGTAGTTGTTTCGCTACTGAGCATAATAAGAACATTAGACATGGTGGGACGATCACTGGGATCATCTTGTACACATAAGAGACCAATGTTTATGCTCTTCATGACTTCTGTTCCATTGCATGATTCCAGCAACCTCTTGTCAACTAAATCCAATGCTTTCCTTTCTTGCCACAATCTCCAAGCCTGAAAGAGTTTTAAAATAAGCACCTCATGTCAAACCAAAACTTTCAAAATCTCAGTAGAGATGCAAGATTTGAGAAATGCATACACTCACATAGCCTAAAAGACTCAAGACTTCTTCAGACCGATAAAATCCAGAAGTGTTTCTCTTACCACTAAGAATCTCAAGTATAATTACTCCAAAACTAAATACATCTGACTTCACTGAGAATAAACCTTCGATTGCATACTCTGGAGACATATAGCCACTGCATCACGAGCAATCATGAGAACAGCAATAACCTAACAATAAATTTCATGAGACAGGCTGAGAAACGAAATGAACTTACTAGGTTCCAACTACTTTTATTGTATTTGCTTCTGTTTCTTTGCCTTGAACTATTCTTGCCAAGCCAAAATCTGAAATTTTGGGATTCATCTCTTCATCTAATAGAATGTTGCTTGTTTTCAAATCTCTGTGAATTATCCTCAACCTTGAATCCTGGTGAAGATAAAGAAGTCCCCGTGCTATTCCCAGAATGATGTTGAATCTCATGTTCCAGTCCAATAAGATGCAGCGTCCTTCATCTTTACAAAGTGGTAAAACAATTTAGGGGATAGTCTAGCAATAAAAGGGCGGTATCTAAAATTACATTTGGTTGGACTTGATGACTCCAAAAGGAAGGAAGTTACGTAGTCGACTTGAACTAAATGGAAACGAAGTCAAACAAAAGCTTCGAACACTAACCAAATATAAAGGTGTCTAAGCTTTTATTTGGCATGTATTCATACAGAAGAATTTTTTCAGGTCCCTTGATGCAGTAGCCCAAGAGTCTAACTAGGTTCCGATGTCGAAATTCCTCCATGCCTTGACCAGAGTGGCTTGACAACCTCTTTACTGCAATTTCTTTTTCTTCAGGGAAGATTCCCTGCAAGAGTTACCAATTGAAGCTAGTGTTTGATGGAGCACAGGCTAGTAGAAATTGGAGTGATAACACGCACAAGATGTATAGTTTGTTGTAAAATATATAGTATTTCAAAAATATTCTTTGTCCCACATCGAAAAATGAGAAGTATTCCATTCTCTGTCCCACATTGAGAAGTGAGAAGAGTTGCAGTCTTTTGTCCCACATCGGAAGTGAGAAGGGTTGCACCTCACTCTAAAATCTATAAATAGGATCCATTCCCTCCTCAGAAAATTACCCCAGCAGCTTCAGCTGATATCTTTTGATAGCTGCTCTCTCTCTCTCTCTCTCTCTTTTATTTTTGTTAGTTGATATCTTCCTGATAATTCTGTTCTCATCTTCTTTTATATATATTTATATATATCTGCTGGTTTTAATTTGCTAGTTCTGGTCCTTCTAGTTTGCAACAAGAAGAAAGTTTGTCTCTCTTGTTCGCAATAAATAGAAGAAGGCTTGTTTAATCCTAGGAAAATATTTCAATTTCACGAAATAGTTTCTTAGGACAGTGCTACGCACGACTCAAGCAGATAGTGTTAACATTGTTGTAGCCATTTATCCAACAATCTAAGAAACTACGGCATCTGACAGTGTTAACACTCCACAACCTTCATCCGCGGCCGTTGCAGTTGCACTACCATTCGCCAAGCCTTTTCCAGATATCGCCAAAGTTGAAGTCTTTGCCAATGAAAATTTCAAAAGGTGGCAAGAACGAGTACACTCACGACTCGACATCCATGGAGTGGTCTATGCACTAACGGAGTCCCAACCTGCTTCAACCACAGATGTCAAAATACAAGAATCGTGACAATATGCCAATAAGGTATGTAGACATACTATTTTACAAACACTCTTAAATGAATTATTTGACGTGTATTGTAGCTATATGCAAGCCAATAAGTCCCAATATAATAGACCAAAAAATTTCAATTACAAGCCTAATATTCCCAACTTTAAGAAAAAGAAAGGCAATTGCCATTATTGTAGAAAATCAGAACATTATGCTGCCCTGTATAGATACAATAAAGGTGACAAAGCAAATGGTAATCCTCCTAAGGTTAATTTAACCAAAGGAGATGAAATAATTGCTGCAGTCATCTCTCAAGTGAACATTGCAGCTAATGTTAAAGAATGGGTGGTAGACTCTGGGGCTACTCGGCACATATGTGCAAAGCGAGAAGCGTTTTCCTCCTATACTTCAATAGGGGATGATGAAAAAGTAGTCTACCTTGCAGACTCACGAACTGCTAAAGTTCTGGGTAAGGGCAAAGTACTATTGAAACTCACTTCAGGAAATACTTTGGCTCTTAATGATGTGCTGCATGTTCCAAATATTCGGGCAAATCTTGTTTCTGCGGCTTTGCTTGGAAAAGTTGGGGTGAAAGTGTCATTCGAATCTGATAAAATTATAATGACAAGAAATAATGTGTTTATTGGGAAAGGCTATTGTAATCAGGGACTTTTTGTACTTAATATTTCCAATGTGATCAATGAAAATGCATCTTCTTCTGCTTATATTGTTGATTCCATTTCTTTATGGCATGCTAGATTGGGACATGTTAATATTGGTTATATAAAGAAAATGCAATCATGTGGTCTAATTTCTGGTATTAATGATAATATGGACAAATGTGAAACATGTGCGGAAGCTAAAATAACAAAGAAAAGTTGTATAACTGTCCATAGAGAAACTGAATTATTAAATTTAATTGATACTGATTTAGGTGATTTAAAACAAACAATGACTAGAGGTGGGAAAAGGTATTATGTCACATTTATAGATGACTATTCTAGATATACCAAAGTTTATTTACTTAGAAATAAAGATGATACTTATAATGCCTTTTTATCCTATAAGTCTGAAGTAGAAAATCAACTTAATAAAAGGATAAAAAGAATTAGATCAGATAGGGGTGGAGAATATTTAACTTTAGATAACCTTTGTGAACAGGAAGGCATAATACATGAAATAACTCCACCTTATTCTCCAGAATCTAATGGAGTAGCTGAAAGGAAAAATAGAACGTTAAAAGAAATGATGAACTCTATGTTAATTAGTTCTCATGCTCCAGATAATTTATGGGGAGAAGCTATATTATCTGTATGTCACTTACAAAATAGAATCCCACATAAAAAGACTGGCAAAACACCTTATGAGTTATGGAAAAATTATAAACCAAATTTGAAATATTTAAAAGTTTGGGGGTGTCTTGCTAAAGTCTTGTTGCCTGAACCTAAGAAAAGGAAAATAGGTTCTAAAACTTCTGATTGTATGTTTATTGGATATGCTGAACATAGTGCTGCATATAGATTTCTTGTGTTAAGAAGTGATATACTTGATTGTAATACAATTATTGAGACAAAGAATGCTGAATTTTTTGAACATATTTTTCCACTGTCTAGTAAAATTTCTCATGCACCTGTTGAAATAAATAAGGAAATTATTCCAATTGAGGAATTAAGAAGGAGCAAAAGGCCAAGAAAAGAATTTTCATTTGCAAATGAATTCCAAACATTTCTTGTTGATAATGATCCTTTAACATACTCCGATGCTATTTCTTCTCCTGAGTGTAAATTTTGGAAAGAAGCAATTAAATCTGAAATTGATTCTATCTTGTCAAATAAAACTTGGATTTTGGTAGACTTACCTCCTGGTGCAAAACCTATTGGTTGCAAATGGATTTTTAAAAGAAAATATAACTCTGATGGCTCTATAGAAAAGTACAAAGCTCGTTTAGTAGCAAAAGGATTTTCTCAAAAACAAAATATTGATTATTTTGATACATTTGCACCAGTAACTAGAATTGCGTCTATTCGAGTTTTATTTGCTTTAGCTTCTATCCATAAACTTGTTATTCATCAAATGGATGTCAAAACAGTCTTTTTAAATGGTGATTTAGAAGAAGAAATTTATATGTTTCAACCTGAGGGATGTATTGTATCTGGATAAGAAAATAAGGTTTGTAAACTAATTAAATCTCTTTATGGCCTAAAACAAGCTCCTAAACAGTGGCATGAGAAATTTGATCAAGTATTGATGAAAGATGGATTTTCATCTGTAGAAGTGGATAAATGTGTATATGTCAAAATTATAAATGATCAATATGTGATAATCAGTTTATATGTGGATGACATGCTTATATTTGGTACTAGTCTAGATATTGTAAATAGTACTAAATATTTTTTGTCTTCTAATTTTGATATGAAAGATTTGGGTGAAGCCAAAATAATATTGGGTGTTAAAATCATAAGGAAAGGTGATGGTATAATGTTGTCACAAGAACATTATACAGAGAGATCGACTTCTTAGGAAGTTTGAAAATTATGATGTGACACCTGTGAGTACTCCTTATGATGCTAACACTCAATTAAAGAAAAATAATGGTGACCCAATTGCTCAGTCTAAATATGCTCAGATTATTGGGAGTCTGATGCATCTGATGAATTTCACTAGACCTGATATAGCTTATGGTGTATGTCGACTGAGTAGATATACCCATAATCCCAACCGTGAGCATTGGTTTGCATTAGTCAGACTAATGAAATATTTGAGAGGTACCATGAATTTTGGTATCATGTATAGTGGATTTCCCACTGTATTAGAGGGTTACAGTGATGCTAATTGGATCTCTGATTCAAATGATACGAAATCCACTAGTGGTTATGTGTTCACCCTTGGTGGTGGTGCAATAGCATGGAAATCTGCTAGACAGACAATCATTGCTAGATCAACAATGGAGTCAGAGTTTGTAGCTCTAGAACTGATAGGGACCGAGGCCGAGTGGTTGAGAAATTTCTTAGCTAATATTCCTTCAACTAAGGATTTGTTGCCTCCTGTGTCCATACATTGTGACTGTCAAGCAGCGATTGCCATAGCTAAAAATAAATCGTATAATTGTAAAAGTCGACACATGAGATTAAGACATGATGTCGTAAAGCAGCTGCTTAGAGATGGAATTATTTCCATTGATTATGTAAAGTCAGAGTTGAATTTGGCCGATCCTTTGACTAAACCCGTAGGAAGAAAATTAATTCTTCAAACTACGAAAGAAATGGGACTTCGACCAACAAGTTGTCAATAGAGACGGTAACCCAACCTATGTGATTGGTGATCCCATGAAGTAGGTTCATATGGGTAATAACAAGTCAATATTGATGGTAAAGCACTTCAATTTAAGTCCCTCCAGAGATAAGTGCTTTGAGTAATTGTGAGGATGAGTTAAAACTCTTAATGAATTCATATCCCATTAGGGAGGTGTAGTTAAAGCAATACACACTTGATGAATTCACCTATATGAGAGTGGAGTGGGGCCGCTCCTATAAGATTCATTGGTCAAATCTTTAGAGCTCTCATGAATAACCAGGCAGGCGCACGGCCAAAAAGCGCAAAATCGCGTTAACAGCAAATTATGGGTTGTAATGTGATTGATAAAATCTCTGTCATACATCAAGAGTTATTGGTTCATAGAAATTTATATTTCACCAATAATTCTGTAGATCATGTTTTATCAATCTATGTTTGGTTCATAGTCCAAAAGACACCAATCTAATTACATTTCAACCAAATCCAGCAGAGTACTTTTTCTTCCTTTATCCAAAGAATTTTTTTTGAAATAGGTGGGAGATTGTTGTAAAATATATAGTATTTCAAAAATATTCTTTGTCCCACATCGAAAAATGAGAAGTATTCCATTCTCTGTCCCACATTGAGAAGTGAGAAGAGTTGCAGTCTTTTGTCCCACATCGGAAGTGAGAAGGGTTGCACCTCACTCTAAAATCTATAAATAGGATTGATAAGTGACTAATTTACGTAATAATTGTATGATATTTTATATTATTTTTAGTCACTTTAGTTATATTATTGGTAGAATATGAATCATTTTGGCTATAATTGGTGAAAAATGCTTTTAAGTGATTAAATGAGGTTTTTATCACTTTTTACTTGGATTTTGTGTATTTTGACAGTTTTGACACATTTTCGTATTTCGGCTATAACTTGAGCTACAATGATCGGATTAAGATGATTCTTGAACCAATTTGAAGATAAGAGATAGATCTACAACTTTGGTGAAGACATCTAAATCCAGTTTGAAGGTTTTCCAGGTCAAAATGCCGAATTACAATAGCAAATTTCTACTGGTCGAAGCTGGAACAGGGCAATGAGCAGGCAAGGGTATTTCAGTCATATCTCAGCCTACACAGATCCAAATGAGGTGATTCTTGATGCATTAGAAAGATAACTCAAAAGGATACAACTTTCGTGTTTTCGACATGAGCTGGTTCAGCCTCTAACATCAAGAAAAGATTGGTTGAAGTTGGGCCAAAAACAGAGCAAGTGATCCACACTCGGATCCACTATTCATCCGAACCCTCGGTTGTTTCTGGGTTAGTGGATCCGAGCTCGGATCCATAAGGATCCGAGGTACTGTAGCAGCTCGGATCACTGGTCAGAAAAGGCTGCTCTGTACGCGTAAAAAATCAATTTCACCTCCACCAACTCACATTGGATGCTAGACATGTGAGAAACATTCCCAGCTGTAAAAGGGAGATGTAATCCTCATTTCTTGACCACCTTTCATCATTAAATAGCAAAATGCATTGCAAAAATAGGAGATGGGGAGTTCATAGCAGAAAATAGAGAGAGACATACGGGAGAAGCTGGAAGTTGCAGAAATGTAGCTCTTTCATCTCCTTAGTGTTAGTTTAGCTTAGTATAGAGTAGTGTAGCTTTTCCATTCTTGTTTATTATCTAGATTAGGATGAAGATGGAGGATGAAGAAGGCAAGGAAGAAAGCTCATGTGACAAGGGTTGTATTCCTTCCAAACTCTTTATCTTTTGTATTTGATTCCAAGTTTAGTTAATATACAAGTTCTGGATTTTGTGTTCATTATGTGTTTCTAAAGTTTATACCTTGGGTTTGGTTGAACTTTCTATAATTGTTAGTGTTTATTATTTGGTTATTTGACTGCTATGATTTGAGCAAGTTATTTAGCACTTTAGCTCTTGAAATCATGATTAATCTGGTACCATTAATTGTGATTATCTAAGGTGTTGTTTCTGCAATGAAAATTGAGATTTAACACTAGTTCAAGAAGTGCTAAACATAGGGAGTACACTCACGAAAGTAGAGGTGCACTTATGTGGTTTTTAGTGATTCATTTCATGTAATTTCATTGAAGAAATGAACTTGTAGCTAATTTCATAACCATGAAAATAGGTATGGATTAGTTATGAGTATAATTGATTCACTACGAAAGTAGGATTCAAATGCATAAGGAAATTACACCATAATTAGCCTAGATGTAGTATTCAATGATCCAAATATAACACTTGCATGAGTAGTTAGGGATACCACAACCCAAGGAGCTTTCATCTGTTATTTTGTATAATTTCAGTAGGTTTAATTTGTTATAATTCATTGATAGTCTAAATAATAGAGAAGCTTTAGTAGTACCGGTAATTGCAATCTTCCTTGTGGGATCGACCCTTAATACCCTATACTCGCTCACGATTCGTATACTTGCGATAAATCGCGTGTGGGGTATTTAGGAGTTTATAAATGTAAAACTTGATTAGGATGAGTTTAATTGTATATGTATACTCCGCGCACGTCAAGGATCCATTCCCTCCTCAGAAAATTACCCCAGCAGCTTCAGCTGATATCTTTTGATAGCTGCTCTCTCTCTCTCTCTCTCTCTTTTATTTTTGTTAGTTGATATCTTCCTGATAATTCTGTTCTCATCTTCTTTTATATATATTTATATATATCTACTGGTTTTAATTTGCTAGTTCTGGTCCTTCTAGTTTGCAACAAGAAGAAAGTTTGTCTCTCTTGTTCGCAATAAATAGAAGAAGGCTTGTTTAATCCTGGGAAAATATTTCAATTTCACGAAATAGTTTCTTAGGACAGTGCTACGCACGACTCAAGCAGATAGTGTTAACATTGTTGTAGCCATTTATCCAACATAGTTACCTTGTAAACTGGGCCAAATCCTCCTCTTCCAAGTTTATTTGTGTCTGAGAAGTTATTTGTAGCAGCTAGTATGCTTTCCAGACTGAAATAGGGTACATCGATGAATTTATCATCCTCATCAACCAATTCTGCAGCTTGTCTTTCACTGTCGTCCAAGTAAGGCATGGGATTCCCTGGAATGCTTTTTTCAGTCTCTGACAGGGGACAAAAGTTAAGCACAAGTTAGATTTATATCTACCTTGGAAAATGTTTGAACCAGAGTGCAAAAAATGGTTGCGTAATTAGGGTCGTTTGCCACATTGACACCTTTTCTTTTTGCTATGATCCTCCTGTAAAAGGAGCAGGTTAAGGTGCCAGCAAGTAAAACTACAGCAATCACTGTGGTAACAATAATCACAGTGACAAGAGTCACTGATATTGATGGATTTTCACGTTTTGAGCTTGTCCCTTCTGACTGGTTTGTATTAGCCAGATTTTCTGCAAAAGCGAAATTAACTGCTAAACAGAACAAAGTAATGCAAAAAACTTTACCTCCAATAGATCGTATGTTGATGCAATATTTTAAAGAATTATGTCAAGGAAAGGGTTACCTATACCAGAAACTGGTACACGAATTGAGAGATCGTGGCCACCATCAACATACTCCTGTAAATTAGTAAGTTCAGAAGTCCAAATCAAGCAACTAGATCCACCACCATTATTTCGACTTCGATTGTCAAATCCAGCATAATAGTATGCCTGGCATGCACAATCGCTGAGACAGTACTCCTGTCTGCACGTATCCTCGCTGTCCGCAGCATATAGGATGTCCGGTTTCTTCACTTTCATCAACTTCAAATTGAAGAATGTGTCTGGTTTGGAGGTGTTATTGCATATATGCAACTCCCTTTCACAACCGCCACTAAAATCTCCAGTTTTCCAAGCATCAGGAAAGACGGGCTTGAATCCTGGCAGAAAATCACAATTCAAACCCCCACTTTTGAGATTACAGCTACCATAATTACCACAAGGGTTATAGACACTACACGCATCATGGGGCTCCTTCCACATCAATGACCATCCATCCTGTTCCCGACGGTAAAACTGTATCTCTCCAGAGGGATTCATCAACAACCTAGTATTTGCATAAGAATCTAGTGCTTGCGAATAGTTTAAGCTAGTATTTGCTGAACCAGGATTATTTGAAGAATATGCACTGGAAGATATATAAGTAGCCTGTTCAACACTACGGCTAAAATTCGATAAGAAGAAGGCCACAAAGTAAGGCAGTTCATCAGAACCTGATTGATCACTTTTCCAGTGCGGTTCTATTTTTCCCTTCATGATCTTGTGCAGCCTATTTTCTTGATCTTGCTCAAATGTGAAGTTCCCAGTTGCAGGATTGCCAATATCCATCCAGGAAACCAACTTCAAACCTCCATCCATCTTCATGCCAGGAAGAAAACTATCAGTTGGTTCGGCAAAGCTTTGCCATAGGATATTTCCTGAGCTCCCATCAATCAGTACCAAATTCCCTGAATCCAGCAGCTTCAGGGTCCTGTTAACAGGGCTAGATCTTTCAAGCGTAGTATTGAAATATGAAGTTCCCATCTTATCCACCAACTTGAGATTGCCATCTTCACCTATGAAAAAGTTTCCAGGTACATATGGTAACGGTGCATCTCTGTTGGCAATCCATACAACTGTTCGTGGACTCAAGTTGTAATACCATATGCCTACGTATCTTCCAGTATTAATGTTATCTTCAGGATCGAAGAAGCCCAGTTCAAATCCTTTCCCAGCGGATATAATAGTTGTGCCATCACCTGGCAATAAACTGTTAGAACTGATGGTGTCTCTTGCTACACATGATTGGAAGTTACTAGTCTCCAGTACTACAAGTAACAAGAAACTCAGAGAGATGGCCGCAGGTTGCATCTGGTTTTGCAGATCAACAAGTGTTGGCCGTTTAATGGACTAAACAGAAAATTAATCTCACTGAATAACAGAGGAATTGCTGTTTTCATAGGACCATGTTATGCAGGCAATGTGAGACACGTGGAGAGTTGGAGACTATGCGCTGAATCTTCAAAAAAGTTAATTGAGCAATTATTCTAACTTTCAAATCAGGACGAGTATGACAGCATTTGTAAGGTTGGTGAAACCATAAATCTGTGCAGTTCTCAAATTTGTAGAGCCAAAAGTAAATTGGGTTCACAAAATAGAACTGTCTTCTATATTGTGTTATTGCTAAATTCATCACCATTCTTAGGACAAAAAATCTCAATAACTATTAAACTATTATTCATATTGATTTTTGACCATCAAACAATTTTTCGTCATAAATTAATTACTAAACTAACTAATGACCACACTCATGGCCATTTCATCGATTACGGTTCTTAATCTACAAAATAATTTTGACAAAAACTACTCATAATGGATAAATATACCCTTGCATTTTAACATGTGTTTTGATAATTTTGTAGATTAAGTGCAATAATCGATAAAATAACCATGGATGTATTGATTAATTAATTTAGTGATTAATTTGTGATGAAAAATTATTTGATGGTCAAAAGTCTATACAAGGGGCAAGTTTTTTGCCCCCATTCTTAAAATTTTAGTGAAATATCTAGTGTTGCAATTCCCAAATCCTAATAACCCTCGATAGAATTATTTTTTACATTTGGTTAAAGTACTCAATAATACATTGGATAGCAACAGAAAGTTCAGGTACAACCCTCTTGCCAACTCACTCGTCAAAAACCACTTACTTTTTTTGTCAGAAAGCAGCTAGAAATTTACTAGGATTTTATTTGTGACCTTTTATATCTAGCCATCCATGGTCTTTCACGTACGTTATTGGAGTACGGAACAAATAATTAGAGGTGGTAAGACGGAAAAGAATATTCTCCGAATGTATTGCCAAATGCAAAGTCTTCTTCCTGCAATAGTTACCATTGCACAGTTAATTTCTCTTTACGTCCAAAGTTGAAAGAGTAGAGATGGCATTGGGCATTATTAGAAATGGCAAATGGGGTAGATGGACAGGAACTAAAAAGTCTATACTTCTCTTTATTCCTCATGCAACTATTTCTCAAAATAAATATTTTGTGTCGAATTTCGTTTTAGTCTTTACCTTGAATTATTGGATCCAAAAAATTAATAAATATATTAATTTGATAGCCCAATATAAGTTACTAAATAAGGTGCTCCTAATCACCAATTCAAAAAAATTTTTACCGTTATTATATTTTTTTTGTGGTATAGCAACTAGCTAGACTTATTTCTTTTTTTTTTTTTAGTCTCAATGCATTCTACTTATAGTATTAAGGGAAAACAATAGGGACAAACTAATATCTTCAAATAATTTACCCACATTAGCAACAATCAAAAGGAAAAAAACATTTATCACACTAAAAAATTGAGTGTCAAAGAGAGACAACACATGATATTCACTTATATGATGAAAAGCAGGTGAGAACATAATAGGTTAGCATCTGTAAGCAACCGAAACGGGAAAGCCTATTGTTATTACATAGAACTAGGAGGTATAAAACGCGCGATGCGCGTAGGTAATTAAAGACAATATGCCCTGTCAAATATGCGTTGGTAATAGTGCTTAGCATACCCAATTGAATGTAAAAAAAAGTTGAAATTATAAGTTTAATTACACTAATCATTGGCAGATGAAAATGGAGTATGCAAAGCATACATTATATTAGAGTGTGGTATAATTGTAATTATATTCGAATTGATAAAAGAAGAATCCTTCATTCAAAGGCTGGAAATTGGAACAAGCTTCAGTACAGCATACACTGATTATTTATACAAACATTTGACAGAACAGAGAAAGCAGGGAACAACAAAAGAATAAAAATTGATAGATGATATCTTTGTCCATTTAATAAATGTATAGATAACAAGATGAGGATCACTAAAAGGCTAGAAATTTGATCCTTTTTAAGCCTGGCTCTTATAAGGAATGGCCTTGATCACTATCTAATGAGACACTGCAGCAAGAGCAGCTCCAATGAAGGGTCTAACCTAGACCCACTGAAAACGAGAGATAAAATAGTTATTTAGCTAAGAATATGAATAGATACTGGGAAAGTGAAGACACAATCATTCTAGGCTTAGATACATGATCATTCCATCCAAGGTCTCTATTGAAGATGATGGCTACACCAAGACTTCTTGCAGGGTCGATGCCAGTGCCCGTAATAGGGATGCTGGCCAATTGAACCAAGAAAACTGCAAATCCAATTGGAAGAGGAGCCAAAATCTAGAACATAAAAAAGAAAGAGATTTGTAAACAATGTCCAAAATTGTTTGATTTCTATGAACCTAATGATCTTTACCAATGTGTTTGATTGCCAGAATCAAGCAATAGAACAAGACACTAAAATTTAGCAACCAAGTACAAATAGATCATGATTAAAATAGTCCCATCATTGGGATCAAGTCGCATGTTCCTAAAATCCAAGCTCTAATTTTAGGTTTTTGTACAGAATTTCTACATCAGTATGAGCCATATATACTTGGATGCTTTAGCCCTTTAGAATCCAAATGACAAAAGGACTATCTTTCCAAGTGGAGGCAAACAAATGAAACATACAATACTCTAGCTGTTACTGTAATTTAAAGTGGAGGCAAATAGTTATACCAGTGTGATAGTCATAACAGGTGCTTTCTTTTTAAGTAGCTTTGGATCTGCAAATTTTGAAAGGATCTACAAGTGTAGGAACCGAACATCATAGGCATTTGAAAAAAAATATTAAGGTAGTGAGTGAAATAAATAAAAAGATTACCAATTTGTATTTGTATTTGTATTTGGAAAGATAAAAACTGGAAAAAGCAATTACTTCTTTGTAAGTTAAAAGATCAACTTAAATCCCAGGCTAACAAGCACATAGAAGCCCTTTGCACAATTTAAAAGTAATGAAGACATACTTCATCCTTCTTGACATTATTCGCCACTATAAAGTCGAATGCAAGTACAAACCTATTCAACATCCTCTGTGCCACCATGAAAGTGGCAGAGGACTTTTAAAAACCCAGGGTTCAGAACCATTTAGGTGGCGTTTGGTAATTGCAATCAAACATATCTATGAATATGCGTATCTTTTCCTACATATTATCATAATTTCCACAGTATTATTTGAGCACCATATTCTAATTTTCATCTTCCGATTGGGATATAACCAAAGAATAATAGTGCTTAGGTAAACTCACATATTTTTACTTTGGTTCACATATTTTGAATAAGTCTAGCTACCAGAAGAACACTGTGGAAAGTATAATAAGTCAGTTTTCTAACATGAGAGCACCTACATACAAAAATATTAAACAAGTTCTATGCAGTGTAAATAAAAGTAGTAATAAGAATATAGAGATCTGTAATGTTTGCTGGAATAATAAGTTGAGTGAGTTTAGCTTATTCATGTGTCCAACAGAATCAGGAAATGGGACTCCGCAGATGGGACAATCTTAAACATGAAGTATAGCCAGTCAACAGCTTAATGATAAAATGCTATTGAAACTTACCCCAGACAAAGAAGATAACACTTCCTGTGGCCACTTCTTTGACGCAAGCTAGATATTTCGTCTCTACAAGAAGAAGGGAGCTGCAAGAAAATGAGATATTAGGTAGATGCTGATGAAAAGGCGAAAAGTAACAAGGACAATTCAATTCAATGTTATCCAAGCACCAAAATCCACAGCAATGCAAACAATGAGCTATAATGCACATTTAATTTCACCTTAGACAGATAAGTAAGCCCAACTTCACAAATTCATGGACGGTTGGTTCAATAAGCAAAAGTTTAGTAATTTTACCTAGCAAAAAAGGTTCATCAAAGTTTTTATTCATGATACATCAGCTAAAAAAGAAAAGAACAGACAAACACTTTCAGAAGAAAAGAATAGACAAACAATCCCTGAAAGTCAAGCCCCTGACATATTACTGATGATCTTTGATGATTTCTACATTAATAGGTTCACCAAACAGAAGAACCATGTACATATTTAGACAGCATAAGGTATCAAACTAAGGGAAGTAAACATGTTTTGCTTCTTTTTCTTCTAATCAGTGTTGTCAAAACATTTCATTTAAAAGCTGTTAGTCTTGCTGATTTTGAAACTTGTTATTGTCAAGAATTGATATGATAAAAGTTGTTTTCTTAACAACTCAGCACTTTGTCCTGACCACTGAGATTCATACATCACAATGCATTTCACTTCCTAATCAGACTATAAAATTGGAGGCAGTTCTGCAAAGAATATCTAGCTGAGCAAGCCACAGCTCAAGTTCATATCACACTCATCATGATAGTTGCATTTTGATAATTCTTAATGGCAAGCGTTGATACCGTTCAAGCAAAACTTTCTCTGAGGCAAATATTACAAGCATTTATGCAATCTGATAAGTCAATGAACTGTTGGTTTACGTATCTTCTTTAGAGCACATGGATGATAGTAGATCTAATAGATTAGTCCACATAACACATACCTAGAATAAGTACCAGCTTTTGCGCTGTAGCTCAACAAACATGAATCCCAAGAATGTGTAATCCTAAAGAGAAGAACCCAGTAGCATCTAGTAGATACAAAAGCTGATAAGCAAAAGACAATCCTGCAAAGAAAAAACATGTCAATTAGAGGAAACTAAATTCATATCATTGTCATAGTTTATGGAAGACAGTCCAAAGAATAATTACAACTCCATCCAAAAGAAAAAAGTTCCCACTCCTTACCAAGCATGCCTTTTGGTGCCATTTTCAGTAGAAAACTATTAAATTCATGACGTGTCTCCTAGTAGTAGATGCTTTTCACCAGAACTATTCCTAGAAGTTGAGAAATTTTCACATCCATCAAATTAGTCTATGTTGTCAAATCTTTCCTCACTCTCACCCCATAAGCTCACTTGAAGTGCAGATTCCCTTTCTCTATTGCATAGATGATACAATTTGGACCTAAAATACGACAACACAACCTACACAATATTTGTCCAACTCAGAACACAGTAAACATGCTCTACTAAAAACAGAAAAGCCAGAAGCTTGCTTGAGACTAAAAAATGAAGGATTTTTGACAACAGAAACATATCCAGCATTAAAAAATGACCAATCAAAAGTAATGAGAACAACCGATAAAAAAAAGAACTTATTTCAAAATTTATGAATTGTCGAGTAGACAAAATTCTGCTCCATTCTGCTAAAAATAAAGTAACTAAAAATAATGTAACTGAATTTAAGGAGTACCAAAAGAAAACGAAACAATTACACTACAATGGAGAAACAGAGAAGTCTTTCGATGAGTAAACATACACCACTACAATGAAGAAACAGAGAAGCCTTTCGATGAAGCCCGCTAGATTTCTAGTGTTTCCTCTCACAATCTCTTCCTCTTTAACCTTTCTCGCCGTCTTTTCCATTTAGGTTCTCAAAGCTACCCCTCCATTTCAACGCCAACAGTCCCCTCCTCTTCATCTCTCCTTCAACCAAACTCTTCTGCAGAGTTCCGGTCCCTTCCAACCAGTTCCTGTGGTCTCGAAAAATCTAGATCCTCATGTTTTCCAGGGAGATCTTTCAGCAAAAAGCATCAATTTCTTCCCGACAGGTGGAAACGTGGACATTTCGGCTTCCGACGATGCAAGTGATCCGAGTACAGCAACAATAGCAGCTAATGAAATCCAAATACAAGTAGCTAAGAATTCATCCTCATAGTCCAGGATTTTGTTAATAAAGAGTTTCTTAAAGCCAATACCTACAAAACAAAACAAACCCAGTTACTGAATTAAAACAAAAAATAAGACAAAAAAGAAGAATTTTAATGAAAATTGAAGAACCCAGATGGAGTTTGAACTTTGAGTAGCTTATGCCGAGAGAGTAACTGAGAGTAACCACTTTAGCTTGAAGACTTGGAGTAAGATAGCCGCCATCAAAACATCAGCCACCAAAATGGATGATAAGAGTTTATTTTACGTATTTTTAAGTGCATTTTATTAGTTAATTTTGAGTTGATTATTTAGTTTTATAAATAAAATAAAGAGGTTTTTGGTAAAATTATATATTTTTGGTAAAAGTGGATAATATTGCATTTCTATTGATTTTAATGGTAAAAACCTCATTTTTATGCAGGAATGATGATTCAATCACCAAAGGATGTCAAATGAGGTAAAAAATAGAGATTTTGTGATGAATTCAAGTGGCAACAAGAAGAATGAAGTGAAAAACGTTCAAGTGAGGAAATGCAATACAAGTCAGTTTTGACACTCTTCAGTATTTTGACCATATCTGGAGCTACACTTATCGGATTGAGGTGATCTTTATACCATTTTAAAGCTAAGAAAGAGACCTACAATTCGTATGAAGACATCGAAATCCATTTCTGCCATTTTCATGGGCAAAACGTTGGAATACAGAAGCTGCATTCTGTGGTCGGAAGTTAAAACAGAGGTTTGAACAGGTGACAGTATTTCAATCATATCTCAGGCTACAAAGCTCCGATTTGGATGATTCTTGAAGCATTGGAAAGCTAACTCAAAGGGCTACAACTTTTGTGTTTTGTACAAAAGCTAGTTCAGCCTGCATCATGGAGAAAATTGCAGTTGAAATAAGGCCAGAGTGAAAACGCGAGTAGACAAAACGCGAGTTATGCCGCGTTTTGTGTAGGCGCGTTTTATAGCCGAAATTCTGCAATTTGACTCAGTCAATTCTCTTGTGTTCATACCACTTTCCAGCTATAAGATGCAAGGGAATTCGGTGCACATGCTTCTGCAATAAAAGAGAAGACCAAATGAGTGTGGACAAAAGGAAACATCATATCTTTGACTTCTTTTTACAAAATCTGAGTGGAGGAAATTATGAAGTGAGAGGAAGGGAATTTCTACCACCTTTTATGCAGAAATATGGGGAGAGGTCTGGGATCCATTCGTAGCTTAGCTTCTTACAGAAAAACATATTCTCTCTACCTAGGACTTGCAAGGGCCAATTGGGATTTCATCTTGTAATCATCTAAGTTCAAGACAAAGGAGATTTTTGGAAGGCTTTACCATATCTTGGCTAAGACTTTCTTTACTCTGTTTGTATTTGTAATTCATGATGATTTACATTAATGAAGTTATGAGTGTTTTATCATTCATGAGTAGCTAATTTTCTTTATCTAGGGAATAGATGAAGCTTATGGCCAAATGATATGAAGTGATTGTTATTCATGCCTGTTATGTCTTGTATTAACTTATCTACTTGTGTATGTTGGATTACTTGTTGTTGCTTGATCACCAATAGCAGGTTTATAGTTGTTTTTACTCATTGAGAAATGGTAAAAATAATGGAATGACATAAGTAGAACTTGAGTTGTATATTCATGAGAATAGAAATACATTCAAGTTGATGAAATCTGCATTTCATGTGTGAATAAGAACAGATTTAGTATTTACCAAGAGATTAGGACAAACTAATCTGTTTTAACCCATTATTATCATGAGAATGTGATTTTGGTATTTCTGGAAATGAATCCTTGGTTAAACAAGAGCAGTAACAAGTGTTGAATTAATTCATTTTAGATCTTTTGTGTCATAAGTGGAATCTACATCCCTAGATCTTAATATTTAGTGAATTCTACTCCTATTGTGAAATTGCATTTATCTATTTAAGAATTTTTGTAGTTGAATTAAAATCTGAAGTTTCTGCTCAAATTAATTGTGAGTCTAAATAATAGAGTAAATTAGTATCTAATAATTGTTTTAAATTGCTCCTCGTGGGATCGACCCGATACACATCTCGTACTACAATTGCGACCTGTATACTTGCAGTCCAACGGGTGTAAATTCGGAATTAAACTTGCACTTAAAGTAAAAACCCGTCAATGGACACAGCGAGGTGTGCCACTGGAGCTTTCATCATCTGTAGGGTTTTTCATACTGAGACTGTATCTGAGAAAATAACATACTATATATCCATTAAAACATAAGAGTAAAGAAAAAAATTAAAGAGAGAGGAGTCATAGAGTCACCCATTTTGCACATGGCCAACTATGGTGGTAGAGGAGGGCGTTGCTTCGTTTACAGATTTTGAAGCTTCAAATGACTTTTGGAAAACAAATAGTTCAGTTCTCTTAGCAATCAAGTGATTAATCAGGCAAAAAAGGAATGAAAAGAGGAAAAGAATAAGAAGGGAAAAAGGAATATCAAAGAATCAGAAGGAAAGAAAGAGGAGATGACAGCAATTTGGAAACGAAGAGGAAAAAGGAATAAGGAATGAGAGATTAGAAATCTGTTGAAAGGAAGAAGACATAAAAGATTAGAAATCTGAAGATGAAAGGGAAGATGAAAGAGGAAACAGGGAAGAAGGCATGAAGCGGCGGGAGAATTATGAGAATGATAAATGTCTTAACCCTAGAAAAAAATATGAACCAAGAAAAGGACCCATATGCCCATATCATTCCAAAGCACAAGAGAAGTAGAGTTGTAATTTTGCAACTGCCTTCAATCCTGGCACGTGAACAGCACGAGGGCCGACGAAAACGAGGGCCGACGAAAAAAGAGCCTCAGACCAAAACCCCCACTCGCTCTTATTCTATATATGTTGATAAGAGGAAACAGAGCCAAGGATAAGACAATCGAAGATGATGGTGATGGCATATAAAGAAAAGAGAGAGAATTTTCTCATAAGGAAAAAATTAGATTAAAGATATTAGTAGGGGGGAAAAACAATGAGGTAAAGAAATTGATGTGATGTACCCTGAAAGTTTACTTGCATTAAATACATAATTTGAAATTGTGTTTATTTAGAAAAAAAAATTGTTTAGAAATAAAATTTCTCGTTACAAAAATTCAATAGATTGGATCTCATGGGACTCCAAGTAATAACCAAGTATGCCCATTTTTTTTTATTGAAAATTGTTGAGTTTAATTTCATTTAAGCCCAATCCCATATATCATAAGTCCTGTTTGATAACCCAATTTAGCACTTAAATTTAATGGATTCAAATCTTAATATGCTTAAACGCATTTGATAACCAAAAATTGAATATCTGAATTAATTAAGTGGCACTGAATCTCTTAGGAAAAACTTGCTTCTAAAAATAAGTGATAAACTATTCACTTATCATTGAATCTGATATATATTCAAATATATTTAATTTAATATTTAACAATTCAATAATTTAATGGATTCACACTTAAGATTTCAGATTTCAAATTTCAGTTTTTAAATTTCAATTTTATCAAACGCACTCTTAAACTCATAAGCACTAGCTGGCTACGCAGGAGTTCTCAAATAATGCATTGCACGGAAAAATTAATGTAGCACATTTGAACATTAATAGTAACAGGAATTAGGCAATTATGCAAAACTAGATACACAAAAGTACTTTGAGAAATAGAAAGCTAATTCTACTTTGATGTAATATTAGCCTGGAAGAAGTAAAAGTATATACTACTTCAGCATTTGTAATCAAACTAAATATAGCCATTGCAAACATATGCTAGAGATTGAAGAAAAGGAATGGATTGAATTTTGCTTGCATAAGTAACTGGCAGCAAGATTTCTTTTTTTGCCTTCTAGTAGTCCTTGGGTTTTGGTTTCAGCAGTGGCAGAGCCAGAATATATGAAAGGAATGCAACTCGTGAATATTGAATGTAAATATTGTGCAAGTCTTATGAAGAGCAGACATTAAATTTTTCTATAAGGCAAAAGTAAAGCAAGTGAAGTAATATACAGTAGTATTAGATTAAGAACTTAGAGGGAGCAAGAGAAGGACTTCAATGCAAAAGTGGTAAAATTCCATAAGAATTAAGAGGAGCTGTTAAGATTTATTTTTAAGGGACTGAAGTGAGCCTCTTGCTACGTCTTTGGACTTGGATCTTGTTTTTGTAGGTCAAATTCTAAAGATTTGATAAATGAATGTCAATTGTAGTGATGAATACAACGTGTATTGTGTCCAGTGTCCTGTTCCTTCTTGATCAATCAAACTGTTTATCGATTCCTTTCCACAACTGTGGGGAGCTGATAATGCCATAATCACAATTTTAATGTCACAGCTATTTTTAGTGAAATGTAAAAACTACTTACTAAATCTAATGGCAAATGTATATTGGGACTCACTCCACCAATTGTCACCTCTAGCATCACTCTTTCCTCACTGTCTCTAAAGCTGTAAGCAACTTTGTCTCTTACTCCATTCCGAGTTAGCCTCATAATTATAATATTAGTTTGGATAAAATGCAGAAAAATTTCCTGTGGTCTCGCGGAAAGACAATTGGCCATTTTATGATTTCGAAATGTCCACATAAGTTCCTTGTGACGCGGAATTAGACTTGCAACCTCATTACCTACGAATTATGTATAATTTTTTTTTTAATATTCTTGTCTTTTTTTCATTTTATCTTCCTTTTCTTGTTGGTGTTGAAATTTCCATATGGCTTTCTCTTTCTTTTGTTTTCTTTTGATTTCACTTTGCCTAAACATCTTGGGTACTTCTAAAAATTTTAAATTTTTTAGAGTATGTTTAAAATTTTTAAAAATTATCCTCACCTTCCCACTCCTCCTTCCTCGCCGTCATTCCCCTTCACCACCGTCATTGCCGCCGCACCTCCACTATCCTTGCCACCTGCCACCCTTTCCTCCTCTTCCCCCTTCTCTTCTCTTCCCCACCTCCTTTAGGAAATGCTACATTACTAATGAGTACTCTTTTTCTTGTCCCCTCAATTAGGGTTGTAATCGAGTGAGTCGAGCCCGAGTATCGCCATACTCGAGCTCGACTCGACATAGAGATAGGGGTGCTCAAACTCGAGCGAGTAGTATTATTGGAGCTCGAGCTCGAGCTCGAAACTTGCTCTCAGTACTCGAGCTCGACTCGTGGGCTCGAGTCCATTCG